GAGGAGGAGGGGGTGGGATGGGGGGGGGCGTGTACGGGCACGCGGTCGAGTTGGTTGATATAACTGAGGAAGGAATGGACGCTGGTACACCAGCACTTGTATGTATATCTGACAGCAGAGGCAAAAAGCAAGCGGAGCAGCCACCGCGCGCTTGAGCGACAGCCCAAAGAGGCGCGCTTCTTGTTCGGCTGCATCCACGATCCGTGACGTCTGTGGAGCACACAGCCCGCGAACGATCGCACGACGTCAGCGCAGCCTCTCGTCCGCCGCTCTGCTCGCCCTGTGCGCCCCCGCCCGCAGCCCGACGCCCCCTCCGCTCGACGAGACTCCCCCCCTCTGTCTTTTCCTCTTTAGGAACAGGCGTCTCTCGCCTCCCCCTCCGCCACGAACATTCCGCCTGTCACTTTTCAGTCTCCGCCCCAACCGTCGCACCAACAGACAGTGACACTCGCCTCCTCAACTCTACACCCGGCATCACAAGAGAAGTGTGAGCGGGAGCGAACATTGCACAGGTAGCCGATGGGTGGGTATATTTGTGGTACGGCGCAGATGCAGTGCCGCTCTGCTGACAAGGAACATTCAGGCTTATCGTGGTCGTCGGAGGCTGGTTCATTCCATGCGGCTATGGTGGTCTAGTGTGAACTCGTCTGCCACTCGGCTTCCTTAGTTCGGCTCTGTTCGGCTCCACGCATGTCACCGGAGTGGGCACTTGCGTCCGATGCTAGCCACTGCACTACAAGTAGATTTACGCCGATCTGAGGGAGACAAACACGAGGCGGGCCAGGTGTCGGATATCCGTCGATTCCGAGATTGTCAGCTCCGCTTGAACGACGATCCAACCATACAGGTACCGTCATATGTGTGTGCAACCACTGCGACAGATGAGTGCTTCACGACGGTGAGTACAGTGTTTCCTGGGACCTTACGTGCAGGCCGGCCCTTGCGGTCGACTCTGGTTCAAAATGCATATTCTAGTCTGTCATAAACTGAAAATCAGTCAAGTACATGAACGCACATCCTTCCGATCGTGCCATTGGGACACCCAAGCTCCAGCTGAGGCTCGTCAGAGGTCAATAACTTGCGTCACCGACAGATTGAGAGTATGCAGTCAAGGATTTTCATTGAAGCAATCATAAGGCGGTAAAGCACTATCAACTGATGTTACTCCCGCACAATATTTGCCTCGGACCTCAAGTATCACATCTACGTACTTACCGTCCCGACGAAATGCCCACCGGAACTAGTCTTATATAAATTCTGTAGGATACCGGAAGTGCACATAAGTAGTCGTGCAGCGCTACAACCGCCGAGCTCAAGTTCGCCCGCCCGCCGATCGAGAGCGTCGGGTCACGTGTGACGTGACACTGACCGTGACCCCGTCCAAACCTTTGCTCGCCGGCCGGCGAGGGCAGCAGCTCCTTTCTCCTCTTCTCTCTGTCACCTTGCCTTCGTATCGCGCGCTTGCTATCCACTCGCCCAATTTTACACATGCACCATGGATTCCCAAAACGATACTGAAATTGCTGATATTGAACCCACTTCTTCATCAGACACTCGGGCTTCACCCACTCAGACATTGTCTACTCCCAGTGCTAGTACTTGCACTGGCCCTTCAGCGGCAGCGATCCATGTTTCTGCCCCCGCAAGAAAACCCGCAAAACTTGCAAAGCGAAAACACAAACACCGAAACTTGGGGGACTCACCACCGAGCTACCTCGATCAGACGCCGCTCGAGATCCTCGCTGAGATCCTCTCGTACTGTACCTCCCCGCGAGACATCCTTGCCCTTGCGCGGTGCAGCAAGCTGTACTGCTCTACATTGGTCAACAACCCCGCAACAGAGTTCATCTGGCGCAAGGCGCGTGCCCGCTGTGTGCCAGAGCCTATCCCACACCCGACGCCAAATTTCACGGAGGCGTCGTATGCAGCGTTTTTGTTCGATAAGGGAAAATGCGAGGTACGGATGCGCATATTTCCCGTCTCGCTCATCTACCGCGGTGTGATCGAATCCGTATGACTCATGGGTGCAGATGGAGGCAACGCAACGCCCAAGTTTCTCCTATGCTAGATCTGATTTGTCTCAGATGCCGGTGTCCGCCATGATTTGTGCCGTGCTATCGTATGCTTAATATACGGTCTTCATCCTGCATCACTTCGGACCATTCATGCTTTGCTCGTACCTCCTTTGCGACCGGCTAGCTGATATAGTCTCCTTTACCAGCAATGCGGGCACAGTGTGAAGAACATGTTTGCTTCGTTCTCGCTTCGACTCCGTTTGTGCGATCGGGTCAGTAGTTTCGCTTTGGTTCTGGTTTCGACAGATCACTTACGGGTATATGAGTAGAAGGCATGCAGCCAGGCCTGGAGGTGGGTCCTTTCCCCTGCCATTCTAGGCAACGAATTTAAGACCGGCGTGGGTGTCACAGAAGTGCCAAAGCGATATATGTTGATAGAGTAGAGTCTGGATCTTCCTCACGTTATCAGGACCTGAAAGACTGGTTGCCGAGACTCGAGTCCACAAATTGTGCGTGCTATACTATTCTGCCCGTGCGGTCGGTATGTTTGACTCAATGCGCGCAGATGCAATAGGAGTGCCGTCCTTGATGGTGAGCCCTGGCAAGTTTTGGGCGCGAGATTCGGATTGGAAGCGTGCCGTCGACGAGTGGAATAAAGTTCAGCTTATTCCTGAGAGGTTGGATGCGTACAAACGCGAGAAAGCCGCATTAACAAATAAGCTTCCTGTCATTCAGGAGGTGAGGGCTAGGAATCAGCCAGACATGACCCGTTTGACGCATCATCTTTGCATTGTAGCATTGTCAAAGACTACTTGTATGGAGGGACAATCGGCAGGCAAGGATCAAGGACATTACGGCATCAAACGAAGTTAGGTAAGTTTATGCTGGTTGCGATATCGTTGTGTGATACCTCATTTATAAGGTCAGAGCCAAGACTTTTGCCAATCGTGAGGGCTGGCGGACGTACGACCTGCTCTCCACAAGCTATAACGTGTTGCATACATCAAAAATTCACAGCCTGGAAGTGGTCACGGACCAGGGTCAGTGACTGGGATGCATTACCCACATGAGCTGACAGCATATGTGTAGACTTCAAGTTGATTCGAGACACAGCGGAAAAGGAAATCATTGCCATAATGGAGCAACGTGTACGTCGCGAGAAAGAAGCTGCCTACCGGCAGCGGCGTGGTGACGTCGAAGCACATTACAATCGCCTGAAGTCTTCCGAGAAGAAGCAGGTGCTCCCATCCTTGCAAGAATTCAGGAATCTATCCGTCATGAAGGTTCTAGTGAACAAGTCGACTTCTGGAGACCTGGGGATAGCTAACGAGCTGAAGAATTCGAAGTTGGTTGACGCGCTACTCAAGGATAACATTGAAAAATGGGTAGATGGCGCAAAGGCCGCGCTTGCGGGTGTGCTTGGATTCCCGGGCTGGAAATCGGCGAGTAAGAAAAAGCTGCATCCCGTCGAACGCCTCACGGCACGGTTCAGATGCAAGAAGTGCGACAAGGTTTCGAAGAAGTACTCGGAGGAGGGGTGTCTCGACTTTGCTGGTGCCTGCGAGCACGTTTGTCCACATTTGAGTACACAACAAAGGGCAAAGGAGACGTGGAGCGCGGATCGGTTTGAGGCAGATGTCCAGGTGTGCTTAACGTCATTGTGTGGTATCGGTTGCTCACGTATACTGTTTGCAGGCCATCAGCACAGTTGAGAAAATCTTGGCTCTCCATAAGATCGCTGCCGAAAGCCCTGACTCCACGACTGCACTTCTTAATTCGATGGTCACCTGTCTGGCCTGTCCCGCGCCGATAAGTATGAATTTTCGGACGGCAGTGAGTCGTCGTTGCAAACACGTATATGCTGTACCGACAGCTGATTTTCTTGACAACGCAGACTCGCCATTGTAGACGTCACTCCGAGCCGCAATGGTCGTTAGAAGTGGGCTGCGTCTCAAATCCTTTGGAGATAGGCGTTACCGGTCGACTGCTTAAAACGTCAGATGACGCCGTGCGACAGCGTGCTTTGAAAATTTATGGATGCCGACATTGTTGCGCAGTGCCAGGCGCGGTGGAGGGGGCCGGTGGGTCCGCGACAGACGCATCTGGCTCGGTCGAGAAACGGACGGCGCGAGCCGCACAGAAGATGGTGGCGAACAAAACCAGGTTATACGGCTTTGATGGACTTAAGTCTCATGTGAAAGAAAAGTGCGGCCCGCCTATCGTGGCATTTAGCTCTCGCTGACCTGCTCATCTGGACTCCACCTAGACACGGTATCATTTGCATTGGGGACGAAGACTTCTATCAGCAGAAAGACAACGCCGCTCACTGAACCCGTGTCCATGGTCGTTCGCGGGTATACAAGTGTTTGGACTGCCATGTATCAAATGTCGTATGCCGTCTTATGCATTTTAAATTTGCTAGTGTGACCAGTCAGGTGCAAGGGCGAGCTCGGGCAGCAACTGGGGCAATATCTTGTAGGCTTCCATTGATCAAGGGGCTGCCATCACGTACTCTTCGGTAGCTTTAGCATTCTCTTGGCATCCGGGCTTCTTGCTTCGAGGTGGATTCGACCATGCGCTGTATGTCACGAGTGCGGCCATACGATGGATGGAAACTGCTGCTATCGGCCTGTTACTCACTGCTACCGTTCTGGTGAGGTGGAGCAAACTTTAATAGCAGTACCTATTGGTCTCTTCCTCAACGAAGGTCTTCCGGGTCGTTTCATCTAATGTCCTACTACTGATGTTGAATGCACCCACCCTTCAACATTGTATGCCATCTCGCGTCTGCTCAATGCTGTTGGCGGAAATCGGTAACCATCTGACGTATCTCAGTCATTTTCTAGGGTGCATCAGAAGCAACTTTGCTCGATTTCGGCACCGCTATCATGTGAGTGCCCCTTCCACAGTAGCGATCTCCCTGCGACACTACGATATTGACAGGAAGCTTAGCCGTCCAAAAATACTCCCACTTCTACGTACTCATGGGAGCTACTGCCAGTCCAATATGGTGGATCTGAGCCAGGATGAGGCGTACCCGGTGGAATTCTGCCCGGAAGCGTAAATGCAGCGAAGCGACCCCAGGCAGCTATAAATCCGGTGGGCCTGCATCTGTACACCCAGCTTCAGTGTTGCTCGCTGCCGGCTTACTGCTCTAGCCTCATGCTCGGCCGTCGCTCTAGCACTATTGTGTTTGCCCTCGGGTGCTCCTGGGACATATTCGGCGCCTTGGGCGGTCCGGTCCAGGCTCCTGTGCTCGTTCTACCACCAGAGGCTGCAGAATATCGTCAGAAGACCATCGATGTCTTCGAGACTAGCTGGACCGCATACAAGTATGTTTTCCCAGATCGAAAGCACTGCATGTAGCCATGCTAACGAGCACAGGGAGTATGCTTGGGGACATGATGATTTGAGCCCAGTCAGCATGAGCTACTCGGACGCGTACGGTGGTTGGGGGGCGACCATTGTGGACGCTCTCGATACTATTGTATGTGATCCATTTGAATCAGGCGTGGCACGCACTAACGTACATCCTGTAGTGGCTTATGGGGCTCACTGTGCGCTAGAAACTAAGATGGCAGCTGCAGGCGTCTGACTTGACAATTGACGTAGGACATTTTCGAAGAGGCGCTGAATTTCACCACTTCAGTCGACTTCTCCGTTACACCCACGGACGACCAAATAGAGTGCGTGTGTTGCGTTTCTGTGATGGGCCGCCTGCATTCTGATCCATTCATCCAATATGACAGTCTCTTCGAGACGACGATCCGATATGTCGCTGCATCGCTGGCAACCTATGAGCTGAGCGGTTACCAATATCCCGCTCTCGTGGAGCAAGCCAAGGTCCTCGTGGACAAAATGGCTTATGCATGGGTCGGGGTAGGTGGTAATCTCTAAGCATCGATGAAATCACATAATAATAATCTATAAAGAACAACTCCGTCCCGTACGGATACATGAACTGGAACGAGACCACGCCTGTGGTTGGCACCGTAAGTGTAGATCGGTTTGCTAGTGGCGAAAATATTCTGAAAATACACGGCAGACTAACATTGCCGAGGCCGGCACTGTGCGTTTACAACTTCATGTATTTTACTGGTCTGACCCTCCACATAGCTCACTATGGAATGGGGAACCCTCTCGTACGTTCCTTGCACTAGCCGGATCGCTGCACAAATGACCCAGTATTTGATAAAACAGAAATTTCACCGGAAATCAGACATATCGCAAGCTCAGTGAGGAGTCCGTCATCTACATCGCTAATCTGGTCAGTCCCCGTGTCATAGTGATACTTCTGGCACCAACTGAAAACGCTATTTCGACAGCCTCCTCCCCTCCCTGCTTTGCCCGCTCAAGATTTTGATCCCACTACTGGCCAATTTGTTGGTTCCTATGTGGTGGGTAGATTGGCCACAATTATGTTCACGTTTGGCTGAGTTTCATTGTGACAGTCGTGGGGCGGTGGATCCGACAGCTATTTCGAATACCTTATCAAATGGGCTCGTCTTTCGAACACGGACAACAACATTTTCGCCGATGCTTGGGCTGCAGCTGTTGATTCATCCATTCAGAACCTTGCAAGGGTCAGTATGAACTCCCAACCGCGTCCAGCATTAGCTAATGCACCCCGCCTTTTCTCAGACGTCCACTGTACTCGACTGGCAATACATGGCAGATTGGGATGCTGGCGAAATCATCCATATTGGGTCACACCTTGAATGCTACTTAGCTGGCAACTGGATGCTTGGTGCGTTGTGCCAATCTTGTGGGCGGAGGAGTATGTAAGCTAACTGATTCGAAGGCGGCAAGTTGCTGAATAACGACACTATCGTCAACTACGGTCTTGCACTCATGGAATCTTGCTGGAACACCTATGCCAGCACTGCGTATGTATCCCTCTCGACTCAACGTTCGTCAATTAATTCCGTGACATATCCTTAGTACTGGTATCGGCCCAGAATACTTCGGATACTTCTCATCTGACGGTAATTATACGGGATCTACTCCATCAGATGGGGATATCGCGTTCTACGAGAGACATGGATTCTTCATCTACCCCGGCGAATCCGACTACTACCTGCGCCCGGAGGTACTCGAGTCAAACTTTTACGCATGGCGTGTGACCGGGGACCCGAAGTACGTGCAGCGCGCCGCCGACGCGCTCGACAGCTTTACGGAATACCTCCCCGCGCCATCTGCATACGCTGGTATCAACGATGTCGATGCGACGGACTCAACATTCATCGACGACATGCAGAGCTTCTGGTTCGCAGAGGTCTTGAAGTACTTGTAAGTGCCAGGTCTCACACTACTAAGGACCATTGTTATGTCAATGAAGATGAGTTACTGACCCAATCTCGGTAGGTTCTTGACATTTAACGACCCCAGTGTCATCAGTTTGGACGAATGTAGGTGGTTTTTCCTAAAGGGTTCTGATTTGCATGACTTACAGTATCTCTGGTAGACGTCTTCAACACTGAGGCACACCCCTTCAAGGCTCCACCCGCGAAGGAGGTATACGGAAGTGGAACACCTCTTAGCACAGATCCGTCTGCTTTCAGGCCTATCAGCGCGCCACTTCCTGTGATCAGCCCTGCGCCCGCTGTTGCCCCACTTCCAGTGAGCTCTGGACTGTGAGAAAGGGTGGAATCGGAAGAGACAATAGTAGAAGCGGACAGCGACGTTCGAGGACACTCTCGATTGTAATTTGCACGTCGATCAATTCAATTAAGCGACGTATCTCGTAGTAAAACCATTCTCCCAACGGACAAGGCCAGTTTGCGCTTGCCGAAGGCAGATTGTCTGGCATTGTTGGATATAGTCGATGTGTAAAACACAGTGCGATACGATGTATTAGCAAATCGGGACTTGACGGCTACTTTCTGCCCAACCTCCACTCAGCTGTCTTCGCTAGAGCTTGCTTTCCTGCTAAAGCAGTGACAGCGCCGAGGACGCTTCCGTACAACAGTACATCACCAAGTTTGAGGTCGACCCAATACCAAAAGAGGAGGACCTCGAACGCGCCGAGAGTTCCAATAAAAGGGAAGATGTACGGCGAGAACAGATGCGGGATTCTCGGTTCGAGGAAGGACCACTGTGTCGCGTACGGGCATCAGTTACTAGCTCAAGAAGTTTTGGAAATTCAGACGCACCAAACCAAGAAGTACAAACCAAGGCCAAAAGACAAATGCGGCGAAAAATGCGGACGCGGCAGGGGCAGGGATCCTTTGCTCGGGTCGGAAAGTGTGCACGATCTCGGGGAGCGGGTGGAACGACGCCTCTTCTGAGTGCTGCGGAGGGGATTGCGACTCAGGCAAGCGCAAATTAAAGAGCTCAAACTTTGCTGGTGAGTGTGTGAACGAGCCCAGCAAAAGAGTGACTTTCAGCGGATTGGTCGAAGTCGGCGGAAGCGACGCTGGAGGGCGGGCCATGTTCTACAGTCGAGTAGGACATAAATATGAGTTCAAATGTTTGAGAAAAGGATGAAAATGAGGCGTACAAGCTCGAATTTAGCCTTGCCCCCAGCAGTCACCCTGACGGGTTGTATGCCCTCCTCACCCGAAATTTCGTCATAAAAACGCAGGAATGTCTGGTGTGGTTGGACACCCTTTCCTTCGGTTTCCTCAATGACTTGGAACGTCAGTTTTAGGGTATCCGAGGGTCCTAAAGTGAGATCGAGAGTCTCCTGGCCCAACTTCAACCTGCGCGCATATGAGTACGTGTCAAGTGGCTGCGAACGGCCTCAGCTTACACTTCGGATCGCGGCTCGGTCGCATCAGGGCTTTTGAGAGAATAACGAGGGGTTTGAAGAGCTAAAGTAGAGGCATATACTTCTGCAGCCGCCAGCACTGCGAGGGTCAGACTCAAAATGGGTCGAACCATGTCCGGAGAAAGAATGGATGATGGCGCGGCGAGTCTGCAGTGAGCATAACCACTGTGAATGACACGCCTGCATATTGTGACCTGTAAATAGACAGACATTGATATAAATTGGGTATCCGCAACAATCACGGTTCTATAGCTCAGTGGTAGAGCATACGATTGCAGTCCGGTTTCGACTGGGAAATATCGTGCGGTCGCGCGTTCGATCCGCGCTGGGACCTCTTTTTCGATATTTCTCACTGGTCATTCTGCCGTCTTCATTCTCGGAATAACGTATATGTACGCCCTTTTTGACATTTACAGCAGCTATAGTCGATCTCATCTATGCAATGTGCGGCCTTCATGCTGCCTCAAAATCACTGGCATAGATTCAGCACTACGTGTTGCAGCTGGACTGCGTGTCTCCTTTCAACTCTAATCATAACATAGCTCTAAGTTAAAGCCATGACTTACTATCTGCGAGGGGTTGGCAGGCTACAGGATTAAGAATCAGATCAGAATCGATCGAAAGCCATACCCACAAACGGACAGCAGTGAAAATGCGACCACATCTGTAGAGAAGATTGGGATGCAAGGGAATAAATGCTAGGCTACCGAACGGCGCCGCAATGTCTGGTTATGATATGTAATACATGCTCCTTGCTGCTTGGACTTCAAATACAACGCGACCGATCTAATATCCAACCCCAATCAGGTAATCGGCGAGACTCTCAACAATCGGCGTTGCCTCTGGTGCTTGCAAAGGAGCGACGTACTCCGTGACCAGTACCGCCTGCTTCGTCTTCACGAGTACACATCCATCAGCCTGAGATCGTTAAAATCAGCACATACAAACCCCGCAGCGTACAAGGTAAGACGCACCGCCTTCTTCCCGTATATACTACGTTCGTTCGCCTGGAGCGTGAAGAACTTCTGGCCAGCCAGACGAATACCACTCGCTTGGGCGGTTCCGGGGCTGGCGAAGCTAGCTATAATGGCTTTCTGTTCATCTGACGACAACTGCCGCGACAATATTGATACGCGAAGCTGCTTTCACAGATTGGAAACGCACAGTGTAGCCAGGAGATGATGCCCAAACGCCTCCTGCAAGACCGAGGATGGCGGCCTTCGACACCTTTCCGGTGCCGATGAGATTGTTGTCGACATAAGCTATTATTCATGATCAGATTCCATCAGTGCACGCGCTATCGCTCAATTTGAAGAAACGAACCTTGCCAGGACATCCTAGGTCAGATAGAGAGAGAACGAAAGAAACAAAAGTAGAGAGCAGCAAGAAATGGTGAGGTCGATGGTAGTGATCAAGTACAGATCTCGGAATCAGCCGTTCGGAGCAATGGTCGGAAATCAATATCCGGGGAATGCCGCATCTGTAAGCAGATCCGAACTCTTAGGTTGCTGTAGTTGTTGACTTTTGGTAGTAGCACTGTGACCATTCTATTACCTTCGGTATCTGCGTGTGGCGCAGCACTACACAAACGTTTCTTCAGTTGTTCTCAGCTTCGTAAGGGTAAGGAATGGAGATGAATATTTGTCCCGCGCCACAGAGGTAAGATTAGGAATTTTAAAAACCATCCCCAAGATCGGGACCGTCATCGTCCAAATCACCCTCTTGAATTTCCTTCGCGAGCTCTCTCTCGCGTTCTCGCGCACCTTCCGCAGCAGCGAGCTCTTTGCGATGAGCGTTCAGCGGATACCGCATCGCCTAGAAAATTGGAATCGTTTAGGTACCAAACACAATAGAAAAGACAGACCAACCTTTACACTCTCATTGTGCAGCTCAAGACAATACGTAATACGTCGTGTAAAGACGTCGCTGACCTCAGGACCGTAACCACTTTTCTGTCCGCCACACTCCATCCACCCCTTCTCGTGCACAATCCTACCTTCGATGACACCGTCCCTGATAGCTTTGCCTACAATGTACTCTGCATCTTCTTCTGAGTCCAAGTGCAACTTGACGCAAATGTCCCTGAGCGAAATCCGTGAATAAGATAGCGATAGCCGCCGTATGCCAGTCTTGATCACATTCTGACGTAGTCGCACGATCAACGTGTATGTCTTATCCTTCTCGAAATCAGCCGCATGCTTAGATAGCGTCGACTGGAATTGCGAAAGAGAACCCATCCGCACCGCTGCAAGCAAATTTTAGGCAAGAAGTGCAGGCCTAGACGACATTTCCTCACCTTTCACAATCTCAAAATATCCACTTAGGGCCTTCTCAAGAACAGGGTGCCTGAAAAGACTGCGGTCCGGGATTTCACCCAGCAATAGGTCAACCACCACCGACAGCTTGTGCACAGCCTGGTAGAAGCCCGGCGCTGTCTTCGCGGCTGGTGCACGTCTGATAGCTTGTTGCAGGTTGTTATGAGCTTCAGTGTATCCCAATTGCACAGCTTTGATACGACCGAGGAAATAATTATACCGCGCGAATTGTGGATTTCCCGCAGATGTAGGGAATTTCGTCTTCGAGACCAACTTGTCCGCTTGATCGTATAGGTTGTAATGGAGATAGCTACGCAGCAAGCGATTTATCAGAGATGCCTGTGTCTCATCGTCGTGTCGTAATGACGCCGTCCGCTGGGCAGCAAGAAATAATCTTTTGCTATAAATTTAGTACGTCCTTTGGCTAAGAGTTTGGAAATACATACGGCCTTGCGTCCGCGAGCTCTCCCCCAAGCTCGTAGGCACGCTCTACTGCATACCAAACCTTGGCGGAAAGCGGATCCATACTGCGCCGGTTGAGCGCCTGTATGCGCTGAATCGTTTCGTGTCCAAGGTCCATTGCTTGCTTGTAAGTTTCAGAAGACACAAGCAGATAATGCAATATGAGAAGACGGAAGTAGACCTCGCATTCGGGCACGAGCTCAGGCTGCGATTGTCTAGATTGCGGTGGTGAAGGAGCGGGAATAGAGTCAACATCCATAGTGCTCTCTTCTTGTGGCAGCGCGGGAGGCAGCCAGGCGAGAAGTGCACTCTTCGGGGTGGAATTAATATCGGCTAAGATTTATGAATATTGGACAGAGTAACAAAGGCAATAAGCTCGTACCATTGGCATAGACCTCCTCAATGGCATCCCTCAGTACCTTGTTGTTCAGCTTTTTCCGTAATGCAGTCAAGGTGCGAAGGACGCGGTGGGTGAATCGAGGCTCCAAGGTCGACACCGCTCTTTCGATGAGCGTAACGTTCGTCTTGATCTCCGCAACGGGGGTCGGGGGTGGTTTCTTGTCCTTCAACTCGTCCTCCTTGTTCTTCTTCGCGTCCTTTCCTTCTGCTTCTTTCTTCTCACCGTCCTCTGGCTTCATTTCAACGTCGGTCATGTTGAGCAGGTAATGTAGGGAGCTGTTACCAAACACTATGCTGGGACAGTCTCTGAGCTAGAGACGCGTAATGCTCGTACGCGTCGTCCTAGAATATTCACTCGTTCCCACGATCTCGCGAACCGGCGTCTAGCCGGTTCGCGCATATCAAGCGCTCACCATCGCCATGCAATCTGCATAAAACCAAGCCCCGAGTTCGAGAGCAGGCCCGAATTTCTGCTTGCGTTGATTGTCCTGAAGCAGGAATACAACCCACTGGTTACTTGGAAGGTAAAAGATAACATATGACTGAGAAGAAGGGCAAAAACCCCCCTTCAACCCTATCGCTTCCTCAATTAGCCAATTGCATAGGAGAAGCTGACCGCATTCGCAACGCGGACCTGAATTCTTTCACATCTGACGCGTAGTCTAAATGTACTCAAGTTCTGAAGGACCATGGTGTTGTAATTGTTAAAGCCCGGAAGGACGAGATGAACACGTTTTTGGTGCTCGTAAGCACTCTCATTTCTAGGAGCAGACATCAGGATGCCCCCATTGGGCGCATATACTCGTCACAGACGTACGTTTTCATCGCTCATACCCTTAGGCAGGTCCATTCTCTGGTGTCCTCATAACTTTCGACGTCCAGCTCTATTCATTACTGCAGCCCAGCAATTTCATGAATGCCTAAACTGCTACGCTGTTGCATATCTCGTGGCAACTGAACGACTTGGCCACAGAGGGTCGTGCTATTGATTCGACCTCGCAATGATTCATAACAGGGTTGGCTGACACAGACGTTCCAGCTTCTGCCGTTCGCATAAACGCACTCTTGTTTGCGAGTTTGGTTTACGGTCTTGCATCTGCATCCATCAGCATTCTAGTAAAGCAATGGTTGAATAATTACACTAATTCTCTTTCCAGCACATTGTGAGAGATCCCGACAGCGTCAGTTCCGGGAAGATGCTCTCGTCAAGTGGCATGTTTTAGCAATAATCACAATGCTTCCGTTGCTTTTACAAGTGGCGCTAGCCCTCTTCTTTGCAGGACTTTTACAGCTCCTTTGCACATTGTATCTCACAGTTGCGATCGTGGTTACAGTGTTAGTGGACATCTTTTTCCTATTCCTCTTGGCCACACTAGTTATTTCGTCGACTGTCCTTACCAGTCTGCACAGTCACTCAGGGGTTTCATTTTCGAAAATGGTCTCAAGGCCTCTACCAAAGAGCTGTCCTTAGGGATTCATGACCATCACTCTGGCGAACTTTCGTGCGTCGTTGGTTGTCGGCCATCAGCACGCCAATATTCTTCCATTGGGATGAACGAGAGAGGTTCTTTGTCAAAGACCGAATTCATACTCTAGATGAACATTCCTTAATTGCAACAGATAAATTGCGGGAAGACGACGCGCTCCTCGAAACAGTCGTACTTTGTGTCGAGGATATGGAGTCTGCCGCAGCGCTGTGCGTCTTCAAAGATACCATGTCTCGCATGGTCAATCACATGAAAGACGGACTTCCTACCCGGCATCCACATATACACAGTCAGGTTATGATGATTCTGCCCGTGTCATATCTAGGCGTGGGCATGTTGGTGAAGGTCGTTCGAGATCCAGACAAGAGTCATCAACGAGACGTTTTCCGGATTGTCGATTCAATGTGGTCATGTATGCCGAGGCCCCGATTTGGTCGTATCCTGAACTCTTTGGAAACTAGGGGTTTCCTCTGGGCTGATAGATACTGTCTGTTCTCATAAGTGTACGAGATTTTTTGCACCGCGGGGAATGTCAGTACCTCAGTTGGCTCACATGATTCGTCGCCAAATTCACTGGCTTTAGTTGGGCTGACTCGCGAAACACTTCGAGTCGCTAGGTTTGAAACCGATTTTTTCTTGACGACAAGCTTACAGAAGTAAATGGCGAGCCACAGACCGTCCTCCTGGATGTCGATCGGAATCTTCATTCATCGGACTAGCGCTGTCTGCCTCTCCTCTCGCGCGCGAAATCTCTTTCGATGATCGTTTCCGGCATCATTAGGCTTACGCGCAAGAGTTATACTATCCTCCCTCAAACCCTGTGAACAGTCGTAAGAATCACTGCAGTAGACCTTCAGGTGATCCCTCTCGAGGCCATATGGACACAAGCCGCATTATGGGATGTCAACTTGCAACATGATTCCATTCGGAGGTCCCTCCTTGGAACTTGATGCATAATTCAGACAAGACCACAACGCATGTATGCTTTCATTCACGGTCGACAAATCAATCTTGGACCATAGAGCCTCCACGATGAAGACAACTTCATTGTTCCGCACGGAATAGGATTGCAGTCAGCAAGGGAAGATACAACACAAGTCCTGTAACCCCAAAACACTGCGAATGGGTATTATACGGGTATAGATATACGCGATAGATGCTGCATATGAAGAACTACCGACTAACGGACAGCCTGTCAATGGGTTTCAGGTTTCCGACAGACGGCCAAGTACATTGGGGTGAAGAGCTGTGTTACAAATCAGCCCTGATCGTTCCAACCGAAATACGAAGTACAACACACCTTCGTTTTACCACTGTCCACTAATGCATCGCCTGCTATTTTGAGGGTCTCTCCGACTTCCCAAGTGCCCTTAGGCACGACACCGAGCTGTTCAATGAACCACAAACCATAGTGTGTGACTATCCTGCCACTCCAGCTACTTCTCCAGACAGTGAGTAAATCCCATGCAGTCTGCGCTTTCATTATGTCGCCTTCTAGCGGATAGTACCAAGGGACGTCATCTGGACGGTCCGCGAGGTCTTCCTCATGTTCGACGGTGAACCCAACTTCGCGCATTGCCTCGCGAGCTTGCTGGAGTGGCCGCATCTCAGGGATTCCGTTCCCAATCTCAATGCGGCGTGCAACGTCCTTGTGCGAAGGGATCGAAGGATCCCATGCGTCGGTCATTACCCACTCATAGACACCGAACTAACGTGATGATTAATTAGACCATCGCATCATCGTATCTGAACGACACACGCACCACTCCTCCGGGCCTCAGGACCTTCATGATCTCGCCGTACACGCCCGCAAACGACGGAGCATGTACAGTGGCTTCAATGGCATATACTGGCCCAATCCTCAGCGTACTCAAACCAGCCTAACTCGAGGGAAAACTTACCAGCGTCGAAGGAGTTCTCGCCGAACTGTTCCGAGAGCTTCATGAAGTCACCCTTGACGAAGGAAACTTGCTTTTCGAGGCCAGCTTGCTTAGTGTACTTGCGCGCGCGACCGATTTGAAAGTCATTGTTGTTCAAACCAACAATCCGGACGTCGGCAAACCGCGCAATCTCACGCGCAGGACCGCCTACACCACAGCCAACGTCGAGAACGCGCATGCCAGGTCGAAGACCCATCTGTGCCGCGAGATAGTGTTCATGTCGAGCCAGCCCAGCCTGGAAGGCTTCGCCCTTGTAGAAGCGGCAAAAGTGGAACGAGCGTGCCCAACCGAACTCATACAGCCCCGTAGCACCATCGTAGTAACCTAAACACGTCTTTAGAATGAGCCCCGTCACGCCAGCAGGCCCACAGGACACTGACCATTGACAACATCGGTATAGCTGTCGACACGGTTGTCGGTGTCAGCCTTGTCATCCTTGGTGATGTCTTTTTGCCAGAACTTGGTGTAGTTCTGTATACGCTCATCGACACGTCCGTCAACTTGGGCAGGCATTTTTCGGCTTAGAGGACATTACTCGGGTCAGGACTTGGGACAACAACACATGCAAGGGAGACTCACCAGACTGAGAGAAGGGGTAAGGAACGTGACACAGCAAAGGAGTGGACTGGGTGACAGGATGAATGGCCGACTTTATAGTGAGTGAGAGAGCTGAATTTTGGCCGAAGCGAGAAACCACACCATGTTGGCGCGGCCAATCAGAATGCGCCCCCTGCAGACTTTTCCACGGTGAATGTCGTCCGAGGCTATTCCAGCAGCCTGCGCGCTTATAATACTGTATGGCCGCACAAACTCATATCACTGCACGAGTCCATCACAGGCGGCGCAATGCATTGCGCATCTTCCATCACGCCATCGGACAGGGCACATGTAAACGGGCACGCTGGGAACATTCCCAAGCGTTCATTTGGCAAGAGCAGTAATACTAACATCCGAACTAGGTCGTAAAAGTCGTAAAAGCCGCAAACATCGACAGGAAACGTAGCAAGAATGTGTGCAGCGTGGTCAGTGACTATGGCTGGAAAAGCAAGGAATGCGAGCAAGCAAGCTAAGGTATCAACCGTAAAAAATTACCATCCTGCCGATACAATGTGGAGAGATATGTGTTCGAGAACTAGGCCTTCCTTCGGAAGAACGTGTGAATTGTGGGAAACAATGCTAAAGAAAACGAGGAGATGCCGGTAATTAGCGGATTGAATGAGTGTGAAGACAGCACGAGGCAGGACTTGATATTCTTTGACGGACTGGACTGGATTTCTACTTGGCGCTGCCGGCCTGGACCAGAAGCGCTTTCTCTTTAAGCACTGAAGGGTAACTGTTCATGAGGTGAGCCAGAGATCGTAAGTCGTCCTGGTCGAGAAGCGCAATCGTGACTTTTGGCTAATGAACGCGATCGTCAGCAATCTCCGATTATCAGCAGAATGGATGAACGCACAGCTCCTTTGATACCAAACGACTTGACGACCCGGAATCTATAGCAGAATGACAATCAGGTGTGATGTGGCGCTTAAAGCCACGGACACTTACATTTTGTCACCAAGTTGTTGTTTCTGTTGCTGGATGGGCCTATCCACCAAGCCGTCCATGAACTCGTCTGTGGCCTTCACCACCAATGGATCAGCTTTTGGTAATGGCAAACCCGTCGCCGAGGTTGAATTTGCCAATTTGATAATCTCAGATGCGGGCAGACGCGCAAGAGATGCGATTGTATGAGTAGCAGTGGTACTGACGGACGTAGTCGGGTGGCTGGGGGTAACAGGAGCAGGGGATGCGGTCGCAGACGGGCCTCGAGAAGAAAGGTCAGGAGTCTGTGGTGAAGCATCCAGAGGCGTCGCGATCTTCTTCGCTTGTGGGGTAACGGGGGGCTCCGGTAGGGACTGTTTGGTAGCCTGCTCTTCCGCGCCTTCGTCGACCTCGAGCACCATCTTCGCGTCGGCAATTTTCGCTCGCAACACCTCAACATTAAACAAACACATGGCACGTTCGCGTTTAGGCAAGCTCATGAGGAGATCGGTGAGCTCAGCAATTTGTGTTGACTCCAGTTTGGCGACAGCAGCCGTCATGCGATCCCTCTCCGATGTGGGGGCGACAGAACCGGAGGGCGACTCCGTACGTGGAGGCGTAGACAATGTCGCCGGCATGGAAATAGGTGTTGAAGGATGATCAGGAGCAGATGCGGTGGCATTGGGCGCGGTCAGATCTAATGCACGGGAATCCAGAGACGCAGAAGGAGATGAGGATTTGGCAGGTGAGGGAGATGACCCTTTCGAGGCATTGAGAGCTCCCTTGGCAGCCTGGATCTGTTCTGTGAGTTTGACAGGGTCTTGGATGCCTTGCAAAACATCTACAAGTTGCAGCGCCACAATGGAATCCACAACTGCATCCAGCTCATCTGCCGCAACATTACTCATAGTTTTGATACGCCTGCTCAGCTCGCCTGACAGGACTTCTTTCCGAACAACGGGGGACAGCGCAGAAAGATCATCATAACGCATTGGTAAGTTCAAGGTGCCTGAGAGGGCCGCCTGAATTCAGACACAGCCGTCAATAGATATCTAATGCGGTAATTAGAATGCATCACTCACAAAGTAATAGCTACCGGAACTTCTTCTGGCTCGATCAGGCCGGTCACTGTGTCCCGAAATTGGAGAACCTAATGGTGCAGGGCGGTGACTTGGGCTCGGCCACCCAGCGTAACTCTCGCCCGCTTCACTTGCCGTGGGACTGGTTGCACCACTGCTGCTCCTTGGGTGTCCATTATGCCCGGCGAAGCGCTGTGCAAGCTTTTCTTGACGCAGCTGCTTGGGTTCGTGCAAACGAACAACAAGCTGCTTGGAGCCTAACAGCACTCCGTTCATGGAATGCATGGCAGCGGCAGCTTAAGGTGTGTTAATAAGTCATTGTAGAACAAGATAAGTCAAACTACCTTGGTCAGGCATCTGATAAGAAACGAATCCAAACCCGCGACTATCTCCGTTCTCATTGCGCATCACTCTCGCACTGGCTCTGTGTTAGCGAACTCACGAAGTAAACAGAGACAACTTGACTACCTAACAATTTGGCCAAACTTATATCACATAGTTGTTAACAAAAACGTGATCTCAGTTGCGAATAAACAACGAACCTGGCGGAAATGTGTGAAAAGGCCATTTGAATCGATGGTCGTATCGATATTCTATAGGGAGGTCAGAAAAACCGAGTGGAGGCGAGATGCGCTCAACTAACTTTGATGAAGAGATTGCAAGGATCGATCAAACCACTGTGACTACTCGATCCTGGTCCAGACAGAGGCGCTAGCTGCACTTGTTGTCCCGGACCATGCACGAAGACCGGGGAACGAGGATGGTATGGCGTGGTGCGAGGTGGTGAGTACTATAGGCAAAAATATCATGTGCTCATGTTACGCGCATTCCACAATGATAACACACCTGTGTGGGGTACGGGAATACTGAGCCAGTGGGCACGAAAGTCGGTGCTGTCGCGTTGAACTCGCTGATCGTAGCACCAGCACCGGCACGCCGGGGCTGATACACTTGTACGGCAATATTCTGGCCCTCAACGTCGGCGCAGTGCATGGCTTCCTCGGCCTCCCGCGCGTCTTCTTCCCTCCAAAATTCCACCACGCCTGTATCTTTGCCGAAGGGCGACTGCGTGCGGACAGAGGCAAGCGCGCCAAACGCACGGAATAAGTCGTATAGCTGCGAATCTGTATATCCAGGAGGCAAATGCTTGACAAGCCGTGGCGAAGCAGAGGGCGGGGGCAGGGGCGTGGGAGGTGTTGTTGAAGGATATGGCGACAATGCGAGAAGGACTGGAGGCTGAATGCCTGGGATCGGACGCGACTGTAAGGTTGCAAGTGCCTTCTCGGCTGCAGACCACGTTAATGCAATGCTCACTACTCACACCGCAGGCGGCCTCGCACCTTTCTCCAAATACTTGAACTCAATCGTACCCGATAGAAGTGTGTTAGAACCATCGCGTGGAATGGTAGGCCTGAATGGTGCGCAGTTCTGGAATGTGACCGCAAGATCCTCATCTTTCACATATTGCGGAAGATTTGTGATGTACAGCACGGGCTCGTGCAGGTAAGGATGGGGTTGCTGGCCCGGGGGAACAGGCGGGGGCACGAAGTCGGTCGTCATCGTGAATGAAAGCGTAAGAGGGAGACTTCGAGCAGGGTATCTTCTCTACCGCCTACGACGAGGGGTATCCAGAGAGAAGGGTCTCAGACTCGAACAGCGTCCTGTAGCACTGCGCTCGCGCGCACAATGCGGAGGGAAAAAATGGCCGCTTATGTAAGGCGTCTGGCACGATCGGAGACAACGGCACTGACTGTTCTCGCTCTCATCTTCATGCATTCATTAAATCAACCATGGCTCAGCCGCAGAATTCATCAGCATGATCACCATAGCTCAGCGACGATGTATATTGAAATACGGGCTAAGCAGGTTTACGTCTACAGATCGTTAAGGCTAGGATGTCGTAAATGGATCGCGAGAAGATAGTATACAAGCCCCATGAAGGCAATGCCTCTGAGTACATGCAATCCCGCCTAGGGAACATATCGGAAGTCAGGAGCCTAGTGCGCAGAGGGGCAGCTGTCAGCAAGAGAACCAATTCTGACAATCTTTCCCCTTACATTATCAGCCAACTCCGATGTGTCGACAGTTGCATTTGGCTCAGGTTTACCATATAGTCTGTCCCTGCGTTGGTTCTCCAACCGATACGAGATCTGGGATACTCCGTGAGAACACCATATTTTGAACTCGTGAAAACTCACTGAGAGTATCAGGGCGACAAGTGCGGACACGAAGAGCAATGCACACGTTACTACATTGCAGTCAGCTCCAATGCATCTAGTCGGCAAGGTGGAAAATATCCCTACTAGCAAATCCCTTTCTGTTGGTGCAGTTAGCAAAAAAAAATACTGATCAAAGGAGTGGTTCCACAAACACTTACATGTACTGCGGCGCTTCCGTGGTTGGATAAATTTTAGACCCCAGCACACTCCCACACTGTCCAATGGCCATATACATAGGTATACCAGTCGCCTTCTTTGTCTCAGAGCCCAGATTGTGAGCGACTGGTGTAACATCTAGTATCAGTAAGAGGACACACTTGTTGGCAATATTACTCACACCAAGCGATGACAATACCAATTGTTGTATACGTCCCACTGGTGATGCAAAAGACTGCGAAAAAGCGAACATGGACATTATCGGGCACTGCGAGCAACAGTCTGTAGATAATCCGAAATCAGTCGAGATTGACCGGAACTCGCGCTGAACAGTACGAACATATAACCTAAGCCCGCCACAGCGGACACAGCTGCGACGAATAGCCCGCGACTTTGCAGCCGATCGGACACATATGAGTTCATGCACAAGAAGATAGCTGCCACAGCGTAGGGTGGAACGGTCAAGAGTTGCGCAAGAGCATTCGCTAAGTAGTTTGAGTTAATAGCTGGCATGGCTACTATTAAATTATTAAGTCCTCACTATAGCCGAAAGTCGCAATGATGGTTGGGAGGAAAGCGGATATTGATGCCAGAGCGCAATTTGAGCCAAAGTACAAAACACCTGCAGCATAAATCTGAAAAGAAACATGAGTGCAATCATGGAGAATTACGAACATTAGAACACGCACCCTCCAGTCCAAAAAAGCGGCCCAGATATGTTCTGTTGATTCATTACATGAGTCAAGAGTCATTGCACAACACAACATGTACTTGCTTGTATTGACGACCCTGCCGACATCTCCAGAAAGGCCTCTATTCATCCTCTCTATAGCCAGACAACGTTCATCCTCGTTCAAATATGACGTCTCCTCTGGTCGATTAGGCAACATAAACATGCACACTATTCCTAGCACGACGGTCGGTGCGCCTTCGATGATAAATAAAAGCCGCCAGTTCTCAACCGTACTATGAACGTGTTGTACGCCAAACGCGATTAATCCGCCGAAGGCACCTGCGACAGCAGCAAAACCAAACCAATACGCCATCCGCATACCCATTTCTTCTTTTGTGTAGAAGAGCGCTATAACGAATTCGAGTGAGGCCTAGTCCAAAGGACTAGTACTGGATAACGACGCTCACACATGTAGAGAGGGATACCAGGACCAAAGCCTGCCTCGAAGAAACCCAGCCCGAAGCGTGAGACCATAAGGCCTGCGTAATTGAAGGCAGCAGCCTAAGGTGTATTCAGATTGATGGAATGATTCAGCAGAGACTCGGACAACACTGACAGCGAGCGTCGAGCAGATACCCCATCCAATGACGAAGCAGCCAGTCCAGATCCGTGGCGGGAACAGCTTCGATAGGACGGTGGCTGGAATTTGGAACAGAATCTTCAGAAGCCCAGTGCGGACAGTGGCAGATTAGTGAGCCGTGGGCTGATGATCGGATAATTCTGACTGACATAGGAAATGAAAAATATTGAGCTCGTCCATCCGTATAAAGTGCCAGTAGGGTCACCGCCTAGAATGTCTTGCGGAAGACCTTGAAGTCGGGCATTACCCAGATTCGACCTGTCCAAGTCTATCACCAAATCAGTTGAAGCGCTCCTGTACAAAGCGAAGCGTCACCTGTTCACGAACATGCAAAGAGGTACAATATGCAAGCAACGGGCATGATGCGGACATCCAGCTTCCTCACTAGTTTCTTTTCTTCTAGTGAAATCCCCTTCGAAGATAGAATAATGTCTTCGACCTCATCGAGCTTGGACTCTTGAGCATCCACTTTGTCTTCCCCCATGGACATGACAGAATCGGCTGGGTAAGGATTCGATGGGGCGAGGAGAACGTAGTGATGCATTCGCCGTGACTGAAATGCCGACACTAAATGGGCGTGCGTCAAAGAGGCACCACCCGCATATCATAATCGGGTCGTCTTTCTCTTTCTGCTGCCGAAATTAGCGAGCGTGTGCGTGGACAGTGCATCAAGTGACTTCCCCACACTACGTCGATTGGCGGCGCTCACTGTCAGCCTCAGGCGAGCAGCACCCGGGCATCCGGCTCGTAGTATATCCATGTCTCGTACCTGGACTACGAGCACCACGGCTGCGAAAGAAAATGCTGAAAATGTATTGAAATCTGACGCACCCAGATCAGTTGACCTCTTCAATCACTGTACCGAAATAAAAGCCGTGACGGCAGGCAGCAGAACTTCGAATTTCGGTGATTATCTGTATGAAAGCAGGAAAGTCTTGTTTATGAATTGATGGGTTCGGCTATTCGGTCTCGTCACGAATCAAAATCGGTGGAAGGCGTTCATAGACAATTCAACCTGAAGTTGATAGACATTGACAGACGTTGCTGCGTGTAAATTGGCTGTTGCTTTATTTAGAGCATCCAAGCGCTATTTATGTCTATATATGTCGTGTCATTTCCATCAAGGTAATATGGCATTATAAAGTGATTTCTATACTGGGATTATCTATTAATTCTGGGTGTTTGTGCCAACATGCTAAGTTACCAACATTGTCGAAGGGCCACTGAATGCCCTTTGTCATTCTCATCATCCACGATGTCCGACGCCATGGACGAGACTGAACCTCCAATTGTCGATTGTGATGTTCTGGAGGCCGCAAAAGAGAATATCCAGCCTCTAGCCTCAGGACGACGCGTCACAGCTCTGTCCGCCATCCTCTCTACCCCACACGCTCAACGTGAAAGTCGCCTCGCTGCTGCCCGGAATCGCCATCGGATAAACGTCGAAGTCGCGCTGGAGGATGATGATGACGATCCATTGGAAGCTTACTGTCGATTTGTCTATTGGACAGTCGAGAATTATCCGCAGGGCCACAGTGCCGAGTCCGGGCTGCTCGAACTGCTAGAAGAAGCTACACGCGTTCTCAAGGATAATAGTGGGGGAAAGTGGCGAGGTGACATGCGATACCTGAAGTTGTGGGTGCTGTATGCGAGCTACGTGGAGAAACCCGCGATCGTATTCAAGTTTTGCATGGTGAACGAGATCGGAACAAGCCACGCGCTACTGTACGAAGCGTACGCGACGGTGCTTGAGCGGGCAGGGAGACGGACCGAAGCGGACGAAGTCTACTTGCTAGGAATTGCGCGGAGGGCAACACCTCTGGAGCAACTTGAAAGCAGGCACCGTGAGTTCCAGAAGCGTATGATGTCTTCAATCACCTTGCCTCTCGCGGCCTCTGAGCCACCTACTTCAAGTTCTACCTCATCGCGCAGGCAGGCACTTTCGGAGACAGCATCATCTACGCGCACTCGAGTGACCCGCTCTGGATCCACACGAAGTCCCACTGTGCCTCAGGACGTGTTCTCCGCACCACCACCTTCTACGACACTTCCGCATTCTAACGCGCGTCTACAAATATTTGTTGACCCTTCTGGTACTGGCGCTGCCGAGGCGCAAGGTAATTCGTCTTCGACCGCGCCTTGGCCGGAGCTTGGAACGCGTAAGTCACGCGTCAAGGAGAACATACCTGAAGTCAAAAAGGCAGCAGGAACTACCTTGCGCCAGACTGGTCGTGCACAGAGAGTGGCTGCAGCTCCTTCAGGCTCTAGAATAGCCGTCTATAGAGATCCAGAGCCGGGTTCCATAGACGAGGGCGAGGAGATGCCATCACCATCTGCCACAGTTCCTAGAGAAAAGACGAAGAGCAAGATAGTAGTGTTTCGTGACGACGAATCTGCAGCAGATGGTGCGACTAATGGGCCCATGTCTCCTACAACGCCAACTTTCGTCCCATATCGCGACGAAGAGGTATGTTTCTGTTTTCTTGCTGTTAGCTGAATGACAACTAAGCTGTTTTTAGCTGGGTACACCCTCGTCGTCGTCCGCTGTCCCTTCGTCCGTCATCAAAGTGAAAGCGATTGGATCGCGGAAGGAGGGGCCTGGCACAACGGAGTCGGAAGCATTGCGTAAGGATCCCTTCAAGAACTATGAAGCGTTTGAAAAACCTTCTGAAAGTTGACGATGTTTGACGAGTATCTGTGACAATTCAGGCTATCAGACCCTAGCTGATCTAGATCTTTGCTCTGTTCTAAGATTGCATGTTGACTATGATGTACATTAATGGATGTCAGCGTTTTTGCTTGTCTGTGATCGCCACCTTCGACGCGTCCTAAGTTCTCGCGACGCGTCTCATAAGTATACACGTGACCGTTCACTGTTTCTTCCAAATTTGGGTATATGGCCAGTCGGTGGCGACCGTTTCTCTACTCAGTCAACGCGCAGCACAATTCACTCAAAGTTAGCGAAGGAAGAATGTCTTACAAGAAAGCCGACTTGTACCCTTGCAATCCCGCGACAGCACGAGGACAAGCAACGAAGCTCGGCTCCAGTGGTGATAAGATCGTATACACCAATGGACGGACCGTAGTAGTCAGTTTTCTATTACTGTATTGACACAACACCCCCATTAATTATTGCCATGTAGATTCGTGACCTTAAGGTGCATCCGATCGCTTACATCCCGACTTTGGGTAATCCAGTCCCCTCTGATATCTCGACAGACTCCCGCGGTTGCAGTCACCTACTCAGGGCATATACAGAACACTACGATTGCTCGTATCTCGCCATCTGGATATTATTGTGCCTCCGCAGATATCACAGGAACGGGTGAATAAGAAAATCACTCGACTATGATCACAGCTCACGCCAGATTCCGATGATTTTGACGCCATGGTATTCAGTTCGCGTTTGGGACGTCGTCGGTGAGGATCAAAGCTTAAAGGGAGAGTACAAAGTCATCTCTGGTGCTGTGTAAGTTCACGTGTTCAATTTTTGCACTTCTCTCGGCTTATCTCCTGGCCCTATGCTCATCGGTATGAAGAAAGGATCTCGAGTGGGATGGGGAGAGCAAGCGGATCATTGCGGTTGGAGACGGAAGAGACAAGTATGATCTGACTCTAGTAGCGAATTAATTCGCTCAACCGTAAATTCAAAGGTTCGGACATGCATTTATGATGGACACGGGCTCTTCAACAGGCGAAATTATTGGACATTCAAAGGTGTGAATATTCGCAACTCGCTGCAATCCCTCCGCTTCATTTGATTTGACTAGATCATCAATGCTGTCTCAATCCGACATCAGCGGCCTTTCCGTGCAGCAACTGCCGCAGATGACGCCACAATAATTTTCCATCAAGGTACCTAGCTTTTGTTGATCCAGCAGGCAAGCAGAGTGTCTGACTTTGGTGATATGTCAGGTGCCCCATACAAGTACGAGAAGGTTTGTTTACAGTGTCATCCACGAGAGCGGACATAATACTCGGTGCAGACAATCAAGACGCACACCAAGTTTGTTCAAGATGTTAGATACGCTTCCACGGGTGACCACTTTGCAAGTGTCGGTTCTGATGCCAAAATATTCATATACGATGGGAAAAGCGGCAATACGCTCGCCGAGGTTACTGATAGTCCTCATTCTGGGACAATAGTGAGTGCGCTAGGTTTCTTACAGACTCGGGCTGACTTAGTTTTATAGATGGCTTGCAGTTGGAGTCCAGATAGCAAGTCTATCGTGACTTCATCCGCAGATTGCACAGTCAAGTTATGTATGTGGCCACATTGAGCCGCACATCTGTTGCTAACCACATCCATTGGTTTGATGACAATCAGGGGATGTGGAATCGCACAAAGCTATCACATCATGGTCCCTAGGATCTGGCGTAGATAACCAGCAAGTTGGAAACGCATGGACTGCGAGTGATAACATCGTCTCACTTTCCATGTCCGGTACCCTGAACATCTTCGACAAGAGGGTTGGAGACAAACCTTCCACTAAGCTTTTCGTATGTCAAAATTGCTCACAATATACCTTGTCTTCATTCATCGTCGCTACAGGGTCCTCAAAAATCCGTGACTGCTGCACTTACCCTCCCTTCGACAAGCGGGACATTCCTTGCAGGCACCGCAGACGGTCGCGTACTGTCATACTCTGACTCTAAATACGCCCCACTGGAGGGCAGTGGCCACGCTGCTCTTATTCCTGGTCTAGCATCTATCTCTAGTGGGGCAGTATACTCTGTAGGCTTCGATGATTCCCTTCGGGAGATTGAGGGCGGAAAAAGCTTCGTGTGTGTTTGGTCACTTTGTTGTATTGGTGCCAATGCTCATATTACATTCAGACCAGCTATCTGCTCGACAGCATCTCAACCTAAGGCGGTCGCAGTTGCAGGCGACTCAACCGTCTTCATTGCAGAGGTAAATGAGGTTGAGGCGATCCGCTTCAATCAGAAAGTATCTGAGTTGAAGCCCAAATTCTCGCCCTCTGCTGTCGCAGCGACAGGGTCAATAGTGGCCGTCGGTGGTGAGGTATGTTGTGCACCTTCTATACCCAAGCTTTGTTGTGAAAGAGGTTCGGCAATCAGGACCAGAAAGTTCATTTGTTCGACTGGGATGGGAAATCCCTGACGGAATCCGGTACGTTGGAGGGCAACAAGGGGACCGTAAGCGCCATAGCATTCTCACCGGATGGGGCACTCTTGGCTTCGGGCGATGTGAGTGGCCGTTTTCGTTTTCGTCTGCTGGTATGTTGAATCTGTTGTATAGTCATCTGGAAAGATCGTGCTCTACGACGTGAGAGAACGCAAGGTACGTTTCCGGGAGCACGGTAAGGGACTGAGACTGATTAATCCCTCATACAACACGATTCAGACCATCACTTCACGCTGGTCCTTCCATAGCGCACGCATTAACTCATTGGCATGGACTACTGATGGTCAGCATTGCGCATCTGGGTCTCTCGATACCCATGTCTACGTGTGGAGTGTGCAAAAGCCGATGCGCAACATTGCTATCAAGAATGCGGGCCCAGGGGGTGTCAGTACGGTCTTCTGGATTGATGACGGGCGATTGGCCAGTGCAGGCGCAGACGCTTGTGTCAGGACCTGGAGCATATCATTTCCCGCATAATTAACACAGGAAAGAACGGAATTCAAGTGTTCAATGTACTATTTTGACCCATGTACCCTGAAACGCGTACGAAGCACTTCGACACTCTGATCCACCGTGTGATGTTACAATGAATTGGCGTCGATTTACAATGCAATCATTTGGGTCGTAGGCAGACACAACAGAGACATAGATGACACTACGAAGTAGGAGGAAACGAGCAAATGAGTGGTCACAGCATGGAAACACGGGTAGATCAGGTTAGCTAAGGTGAATACAAGGAGGATGAAAAGGATCGTGTGGCTTTCTCTGTATTTCCGGGCATGCCAGTAAACCGCTCTGCGTCGCACCAACAACACTCGACATCAGCCACTTATATCACATCTCCAAAGCCTGCTCTCGTAGCCGCGCTCAGTTGAGTTCCTCCAAGTTGCTCGTATCCTCAGGCTTATCCTCCACCGCATCGAAGTTCTCCACCAAGTCGGGAACATCGTCATCGTCGTCATCCGCTGCAGCGTTTGGTGGTCGCTGCTGGTTCTGCTGAATCGCCTGGTAGGATTCGGCCAACTTGCGCAGTGACGCGAGTGAGTCAGGGCCAAGCTGGTTGAGAATGCCAGGAACGAGCTCCGTGAGCTCTTTCACGTGGCCGGCGCCGTACACGGCGAAGGTGTTAGCGGCAACAGCCGCGTGCACTGCGAAGTGATTCGAGGAGGGGGACATGTCAGCATTATGAGACGTGGTACACGTAAGCGAAAAGGCTAGGAGACATCCTGAGACTCGCAATTCGCAGGCGAAACTGCGAGATCTCGGAGGTATTGGAATGAGGACCCACCTTTTGGTGCGGTGAAGTGCAAGACATTGCCGTCCTCCCTGAACATGTTGACCTCCTCAACGCCAGGGATGGGTTGCACATTCAACTTCTTGAGTGCCCCCTGCAGCTTTTTGTCGTCCTGTGCAGTCGAGGGCTTGGTTTTCCGCACGATTTTGCGGCGCACAGTCCCCTTACCACCTGCAGACAGAGGGCGGTAAGGGATGCATACAGACGTCAACTGCGGCGGGGTAAAAAGGAGCTAAACATACCGATCCTGTTCGCTGCAGCCTGCGCTTGCAGCTTGGCCAACTTTGCGGGATCCATGGTGGATTGAGTCGTGGATCGGGGTCAACGACGGGCGGTGGATTTTTGGTGACGGCTTCGTTGAGAGGAGAATAAGGTTCAGGCCAAGCACGACCATACAAACACCGCGAAGTGCTCACGGGCGTCTCTCGTCCCCGGAGCCATGCGCCCGAGTCCGAACCGACGGCGTGACTCGTCCATCTGCGCTGCTATATAACAACAAAACCCCATGCCCGGCAAAATGTGCTTTTGCTTTCCCCATGTCTGACTCTGCGTTCTTCATCCGCCCCGCTCAGCCAGAGGACGTGGTGCGGGATTCTGTCTCTCCCGGATGCAGCATCACATTCTCATGTACCTTTTGAACACAATCAGGCTGCCATTCAACAGCTAATCCTCGGTCTGGTATGGTCCACCATACCGCGTGAATCCCCGTGTCATAATGCTCGACGCTGTAGGCGACGTATGAGAAGGCTCCAGAGTCTGCAAAAGCCACGCCAGAGCTCGTCAGTAACAGACCGATTCTGTGCGATCTTTTGCTAACGGAGAACATGTAGCTGCGCAAGAATTTGTTCGAGACACCGTATGCATATGCTCTCCTGGCCTTCACAGGATCTCCATCGGCCCCTGGGAAGCCCATAGGCATGGCAATCTATTTTTTCAACTTCTCCACATGGACCGGGAAACCGGGGCTATACGTGAGTGTAGAGCGTTCACGCGTCGACTGCGAGGGCAAATAGTCGAGTTGATGTCCTGTAGCTGGAAGACCTGTTCGTCGATGCTGACTACAGAGGGATGGGCGTTGGGAAGGCATTTTTCGTCGAATTGGGCAAAGTAGCCCAGGAAAAAGTCAGTCAAGTGTCCCCTCGGTAGCACCAGGATGACCTATATCTATGGCTCACAGGGTTGCCCCCGGCTGGACTGGTCCGTCTTGAAGGTCAATTCAAATTAAGATCCGCTTAGATCCTTTGTCTGATATTTCAAAATAGTGGAACCAACCTTCCATCGAGTTTTATGAGAAGAAACTTGGAGCGGCCGGGATGCCAGAATGGATGGGTATGAGACTTGAAGAACAGGGCATAGAGAACTTAAAGAATCTTGTTGCCAAGTCCAACTAGATGGTAGCCATCTTGAGTAGCCAGGCTATCTGTTGAGTAAAAACGTATGTAGGAGTAGGGCTAAAATACGGGACGCAGCCTCTGGATATAAAGTTATTTTTAGGAACATACCTCTGCATGAGACAATCAAATACTGCAAGTCGCAAAAATAACAAGAGGAGAGATTCCAAGAGATGCAATGTCCGCTTATCAAGCTACTGACAGACAATCAACATTGCTGCTGAGCCATGACTTGCGGCATCGCCAATGGATTGGCGAGTACGTCATGACACATGCACTCTCCACGAGCAATGAAACGTGTGCCCATGTATGAGAATGCACTGTACAATTATCGTTGACCTTCATGATTTGCGCACAATATACAAGAGCAAGCGGGCCTGCGCGATATACCGCCAGGGTACGCCAAAGCGCCTCACAATCAGACGCCGTCATAGCTAGCACCTCCCGCCTTCATACATCGAAACTGAATCAATAGCGCCACCAAGTACAGCTAGGGCCGTCTCACCTTACGCAGTCGAACAACGATCGGATCCTCCTTGAGATCGTCCTTCTCTCGAGCAGGCACCTCGATGGAGTAGACGCGCAGCACCGACTTCACGTCTGCTGAATGCACGGAAATCTGCCCCGCACGCAGATCAGCGCAAGTAGAATTGGAAAGCAGATCGGCAGCTACGAACCTTGGCTCTGCGCATCACCTTGCATCCAGGCCCGATCCACACGATGAGGATGAATTTCTCTCTCTTTGATTCTTTGTCGTTCGCGTACTGAATGCGCGCGTATGCGTATGAAGCCTTTGAGTCATCCAAATGTTCTCTGAGCTCCTGCAGGCCTCCGGAGCCCGTAGCGGTCAGAACAAGCTTGTCGGAGCGGTCAGACTGCAAGTGACCCGTCAAGTCCCATGAGAGAGATATTTAGGCAGATTCAAAGGGTAGTCTGGCGAACCTCGTAGTCGATGAGCAGCCAGCTCGTCTCCGTCTTGTCCGAGCGGACGTCCTGGTATGCTACGATTGCATCCGGTGTCACGAGATGCAAGTCGAGACGACCGACGGTTACCCACCTTCGTCAATCTTCGGGTCAGAGACGTCAGCCATGGCAAAAGGAGTGCGACGGATGAGACAAAGAATCAAAGAGGAAGGACAGCAAAGGCGTGGAGGCGGACTGTGTGTATGAGTGTAGAGCAATCTCAGTGTGCTCACCCAAGAATGTCTGGCCAAAACCCAAGGCGCGGAGATGGGCGGAGATCCAATAACAATGTGTTAACTCGCCTTTTCCCGGAAGAATGTGCAAGGACTTGTTGCATTGTCTAAGTTATCTATCTATGCTAATGCATATAGATACCAGCTGAATGAAGGAAAGCTTATGCGATAAGGTGATCCTTCCGAACGTTTGGATATTATCAGATATCTGCATTGATAGCTGTGCCACCAAAATAGGAAATCGCATATGCACATTTAGCCAGCTGAGATTCAACTCCAAGAAACTCGCATGAAGGTAGCAATGCGCTTACCAAGCGCCCATCAACATCTTCATAATGCTCTCCGCCTTCCGCTGTTTTAGACCAACTCTGCCGTCCGCCCACACTCATGCGAGTTTATACAGCGTCGTTGCAGGCCTGGCGCGTACAGACTGGCGTACTGACGGACATCCAGCTCCCCAGCCGGTGAGCTTGGACGACGTGGACTACGACGACACCTCGCCGAGCCCGCACTCTCAGGTGCCCCCACACCGCCGAAAGCCTTCCAAAATCCCCACGCCGCACGAGTGGGCAGAGCACCGCAAGTCCATGAAGAAGGACTTCCCCGAAGGCTGGGCGCCGACACGGAAGCTGTCACGCCAGGCCATGGACGGCCTGCGTTCGATGCATGCGATGCACCCGGAGATCTTCACCACGCCCGTCCTCGCGGAAAAGTTCAAGATCAGCGCAGAGGCCGTGCGGCGCATTCTGAAGAGCAAATGGGAACCGACGCGCGAGGAGCGCGCGCGCTTTGCGGAGAGGGAGCGGCGGAACAGGCAAAAGTGGATTGAGGAGAAGAGGATGGAAGAGAGGCAGAAATACATGGCACAGGTGCAGGAGAGTGGGCCATTGAGGAAACCTAGCAGAAACGATCGCTTGATGTTCGTTTGAAGCAGTAGGCTCGAGATGCATCGCGGTATCGAGGTGGTTCTTCAAAAGAGTCAAGCCGAAATTGCCCCCGAATCAGTAGTACTCGGAGTTGCGCGCTGCAGGGAATGATGTATGCTACAGGCAGGTCATGCATGCCTTGTGGCTCGGAAGTATTATACAGAATTTACTAGTTTATGATATTACAGTGTCTATGATCTATCACTGTCCTTGCGTCTTGTCAATAATGCCACGTTTAACACGCCAGCTTATACCGTATGTAACACAATGTGCCTGTCGGTTTGCAATGCAGGCTGTCGTTCCAATCTGGCCTCGGCAAAGAACTGAGCTGGTGACCCGTGCTGTCAACGGCGGTAAGATCAAACCCAAGTGTGAGCACGGCAATGACCAGCTTCAGCTGCAACTTGGCGAGTCGCTGGCCGAGGCACACGGTCTTGCCTGTTTAAAAATAAAAGAGGGTTCAGAACTGAAAATGTCGCTGATTGAGCCCATCGCACACCTGCACCCCAGCCAACATAGGAGAATGGCATCTTGGACTCTGGCCGCGCTGGATCGAACTTCCAGGGATCGGGGTAGAGTTCGGGGCTGAGGTGGGCGTCGCTGAACGGATAGACGACAAACGTTCCTGGTGGAACCGTCTTTCCCGCCAAGTAGATTTCAGGCCCCGTGTTCATGCGCATCGCGGTATGTGGCTGCGCGAGGCGGAGGGTCTCGCGAATGAGGGCGTCGAGCACGGGCGTCTCACTCTCCCAGGCGTCCAGGGGCACCGTGGAGAGAGATGCGGATAGCTCGTCGAGCGCGTCCACGTCCGGCGAGGGCGCACAGATGTGTGCGTGGTCAGATATAAGTTGACGGAGCTCGGCAGTCGCGCGCTCCTTCCAGTGAGGGTGTCCGGACAGGAAGGTCATGAGCCATGAAGCTGCATCGACGCGCACATGTTCAGCGTCTAGCCAGCCTCGGTCTTATTCGACACACCTGTGGTTCCTGTAGATCTAGCGCCAGCGACCAGTAACCCCATAATAAACTGCAGGGGAGATCAGCTATTTCGATCACGAGGACACTGAGGATGCTCACTCCTACGATCACCAATTTGTCGTCCCCGTTGTCGAGTAGGAGTTGCAATGTGTCGTCCCTGGTAGTTTTCCCGTCCCTTCGTGCGTCAATGGCCGCACAAATTATACTGTAGATTTTCTTTGTGGCAATTATCCGTCGTATAGCGCTGGGACTTGGGAACCACGGGAACATTACGGCGGCGGGGGTCATTGCCGCGTCGAGAGTATCATATAAGCTCTTCAGACGGACGACAAGGTCGGGGTCGTCCGCCATTTCCGCGGAGGCGAGGCTTCTGACATTGGCGTGGAAGGTCAGCTAATATAACGGCCAGGGCAACTGTCATCAGATTATCGTTTACGAAGACAGCTAATGTGGGATCGCCCACCTGAGGAATTAAATCAAAAGGGCTCAATATGCCGGAATGCCCCCACAGTTTTATGTTATGTTGCAAGTCTTGAAGAATAGTTGGTATCACTGTAAAGCCACGAGATGAACGACCATCATACTGGAGGTTCATGTCGAGAGCTCACGGACATCGTTCCAGACGGTCGCTATTCTGGGCCATAGCCAGGCGTTTGTAAATGAGAGATATTCGTCGGCTGGCGAGATCTACCGTCACTCCAGGTAACAGTGGGATCTGAGGAAATTCAGCATACATCAGCAGAACATTTTCGTGAATCCTCACCGCGCCGGATAATATTTTGAAGCCCGAATGAAGGTCTAATTCTCTGGACAGGAAGAAATCATGCCTGGCTGCCGCTCCAGAGACCACGACAACCGACGTCTGTACAATATTCAGACACCAAAAATGTGAGGGATAATGTACGCACACTGATCAGTTTGAATGTATACACCGATTGGCCGGTGAGTTCGAGGCCACGTCTAATAAAGTCAAAACGTTTGTAAAAGAAGGGCAATACTGTTGTTAGTGGGCATTCGGGCAATGTGACCGGCGCATTGCCATCCTCCTTGGAGGTTAGATGCCAGGTAATCCACAGAGAGCATATTGCGGAGGGTATGATGCAAATGACACTGACTGCGGCTGTCTCAGACATGCACGCGGACAGAAGGACAAGCAGACCGACTATGGGATACATGGCGGGGGAAAGGGTTTGGCATTGGGACACGAAGCTGGGCGGGCTTTATAGACGGTGGGATATAAACCGTGATTCGCAGCGCTCGGCACGGGACAAGATACGAGCGGAGGGAGGGCGCCGTCGAGAGTCGGATTCTCTGAGAGCGCTGGGGTGGGCGCCTGAAAACGACGTACGGTTCTCGATCGCCACGGACGAGCATTACAGTCAAGTACGCTGCCGATTCTAGTCCATCAGCCGTTGCCGTTGCTACGCTGGCTGGAAGCCCACCGCCGTCCTGTCCTGCTCGGGTGATCTCCCAGCCTTGTTCAGTGGCAGCGCGAGGGCCCAGGGAAGAGACGGGGCGACGGAATGTCTGCGGCCTCCTGCACACGACAAGCGTCGGCCCCGATTCAGGAAAAAACCGCGGTTAATCACAATTTATCAGGCGCATCAGCCTGTCGAGAATGACAGTGCTGGTCATGGCAGAGACAGCCTCTGATGGTGGCAGATCAGCCCCCGCTCAGACCCCATCAGGCGACACGCATCCAACGTCACACCGCTGCCCGCAACAGGCAACTGTAGAGTAAATGAAACCCGTCCGTACGGCCTCTGCTGGACAGCGCCCGCAACTGCACCGTCCCTGTCGCCGATATTGCATCAGATGTAGGCCCAACTCCGAAGCAGTCTCGCAAACGCACCAGTTCGCCTGAGGGTGGATCACCCGCTCCACATCCGCACACAATCGAGCCGTCGCAACGCCGGATCTGATCTATAAGGAAGGGGCCCCGGACGATTCTGGGCAAGAGACAACAAATTGAGGGTCTCCAATGACTTGCGCGCCTGACGGGATTCTTTCGTAGTCAAATACAGCAATCATGGCAGCAATCTCCGAGCAGGCCCTCTCACCGGCGAAGATCTAGCACGCGGACCCGTGGCGCCTGCATCTGTGGACGGTCGAGAAGCTGCCCGAGATGGGCTCCACGGCGCGTGCACATATTCTTTCCATCTATTATCGACGAGTCTCGACGACGGACAGAGAGCATACTGAACAAAGCAGACGGCGGAGGTCACGTCGAGCAGCGCCCTATCCGGCTGTGCCAGTGGTCGAACGCGGTCAACACGCACGCATAATGTGCAAGCGCCGCCAGGACGACGCAGATGTGGAAGATCTGATGCGACGCGCCAAAGTGGTCGAACCTGCCGGGCAGAAAGCGCTCCGGGACGCGGTTCGCACTGCAGCCGCATCCGCGCCACGCGCTAGCAGTCAGCATTCTCCTCGGGCAGGTCGGGGCCGGAGGAAGCGAAAAGGGCACTCACTACAGCAAGGCACCACTGATGTATAGCAGCCCTGACGCGAGCAGCCACCCGAAACCCATCTCTGACCACAACTTGTATATGCCGTGCGTCACCAGCCCGTGCGCAACTGGAAAGACCGCACAGAGGCCCAGGGCTATGAACACCTTTGTCCGTGCACCGCGATGGGTGGGCTTGCGGTACTCGGGATCCAAAACGATGTACGCCGCGCCTGGAGCCAACCGAAAAACCGTCGTCAGTCTCGCGACCGAGTGCCACAGGAAGCTCGCGTACCCATGCCGACGACGACGATTAGGGAAAGATACAGAATTTGCAGAGGAGTATCGCAGAAGAACTCGTAGTATATGCAAGGGAAAAATGAGCCCACAGTGAGGACTGCCAAATTCGTATTGAACGCCGTGGAGTTAGAATCTAGCGGTGACGAGAGAGACGATTCTGATGAGACCTTACCTACGATCCCTGCATAGTCAACGGCATTGCATCGCAAGGACACCTTCCGGTGTGGGATAAGGGTGTGAATTCACAACAGACTCCCGACGGCTTAATCCAGGAAGGACGAACCTCATGCGAGTGGACAGAAAACGTGTGGTAGAACGAGCTCGAGAACAGGCAAAACACCGCTGAAGCGAGAAAGATAACGAATACGGCAAAATCCGCCCACGTTGTCGATTCGTAATGTGCAAAATACACGCTCGGGAACGTGCTGAGGAACACTATGAACAGGAGGCCACCGAACAAGTGGGTGTGGATGTTCACTGAAGCGTCGCGTAAGTCAATGTCGACCTTGTATGGCAGTCTATCAAATTGGGAGACAGGATACCTGTTTCATTGTGTAGGTCTGCAAAATACCGAGGCCGTCAAGACGGGAGTAGTCAGTCACTTCATATTGCGTCACGTCGGCCTGGAAAGCCTGGCTGCTACGTACATCCAAATATGGAGTATGCACAACCGCGCCAGCTGAACTGGACCCTAGAGAGGCATCAGTCACTTGTGCTCATATAAACTGACATGTCAGAACAGCCACCTAGAGAGTGTATGAGCAGAATATTCAACAGCCGAGGAACTGGGCTGTCTCCGACGAGAACAAACTGACCTTCTATACCCCGTCAAAATGTACTCATTGTCCTTTTGCCATGCGGGTATCTCCAACCATGTCAATGTCCGACGATCCGCTTTAGAATCATTTGCAGAGAAAACGGGCTCGCTCGTCGGCTTTGCAACATCCTGCGAGTGTTCATGGATCTCAAAACGCACCGGAAGGGAGAGGCTCTCACTGATGCTACGCCGTACCGTGTGCGAAGAGACATTCCCGAGGGTCCACTCGAATAGCCAACGCTTGAGACCGATGTGGCGAACTAGGTACCGGCTGATGGCCAGGGATTTGTGAACGAAGTAGCCCAGTCACCACCAACGGGGATCAAGATGCACAACACTATGCTAAAAATACGGCAGCCTCGGTCACGCCTGCGTTCAATGCTCAAAGCGCTCAAAATCGGCTCTTGCATGGATGCCCGGGCGCTCGCTCCCCCGCACGAGCCGATCCAGGCCTCGGCGCAACATGAGAAGCCTACCTACCCCCTGACACCCCCCACTCGAGTCCGACTCGCAACCAATCACTGAATATCCGACCAAGCAAGCACCCTTCAAAATGCATATAACGGTGTTAGAACAAGCACCGGCCCTAGCGACGGTGCCTCGGCGAGACAAACGACCAATGGTTACAGACAACCGGAATATATTGCAGCAAAACGATTGGGCGCCGGTCCAGTAGAATACACATTGTCATAAATCCAAATGAATGATGCGAGACACGGATATCCAGTGGATGGTAACTTGCGAGCAGATGTAGAGACAATGATGGATGAGATCGACATGACGAGGGGGTACTAGTGATGCAATGCAGAGGTACCGGCTTGACAAAACAAGATGTGTTTAAATACAAGTATGCACATAAATGCGAGGAAAGTTCCATGAACACGTCATTAGGAAATTGGTAGTGGTGAAGCAAGTACCATGGACGGACGGGCCGTCGTCTCAAGCAATTGTGATGTGTTCGTGGAAATATAGCGCGGTGGGATGGCACCTTCGTTCAGACGACCATGTACCGAACTTGGGTCCACGTCAATAGAGGATACTCTAGATATCCAAATCAGAGAACCGATCCACACTAGACCCTCGGAGGGTCGCATATCGTTCGCCAGAGCGAGAGGGTGTAGAGAAGGTGAATGCGGAGTATATGCGTTTTCGTTCTGGTGTCGAGAAGATGGCAAGGCCGGCTGGGGACGGCGAGGATGATTCTCTTGAGGAGGGAGCGGGCGAAGGAATTTTCTCAGGTCCTTCCTCTGTTTCAACCAATTGTTCCTGCTCCTGAATCGACGAACGGCGTTCAGTATACGTCCTATTGATCCGTGACTTATGCATACCTTTGCTTCTGGTTCCTCCTTGGGAGGGTCCACAGGAGTAGCATGATCCTCAGGGGGAGGGGATTGCTCATAAGCCTTCGATAGATCGGCCAATGGCATGACCGTCAATTCGTAGCAGCGCACATCTGCGGCTACTTGGGAGAGGCGCTCCGACTCTGTATCCTTCACAGGTTCGGCATCAACCTCCTCAGTCACCCTCGGCAGCGACGGTGACCTCCGCGCACGACTAGGCCCCACGTTCCCGTTCCGCTTTGAGGTCAATATACGCTTGACCTTCTTCTCTACCACAGCACGTCCTGTCGACGAAGTGGACGTTGAATCCGCCGTCAAGCCGCGTTTTTTGGCCTCCTTCGACTCCTTTTGCTTCTTGCTAGGCGGAGGAATGTGTAACTTGGTAGCGAGAACGTTAGTTTTGCGCTTCTTGGTCGTCGGGTCAGTGTTAGCGCGAGCACCAGTTGTGGGGTTGATGTTCTCCTTGTCAGGACAATAAACAAGCAGAGGACCTGGAGGAGGAGGGGCAACTGCGATAGGAATGGGAAGATTCACATCATCGGACTCGGTCGACTTCGAAGGGGATGGTGGGGCATCGTCCTTGAATACCACAAAACTGCGAACAGCTGACGCCATGATCTCGCACAATCAATAAGTCAACGGCCTAACAAAGCGGGGAAGGAGAAGAGAATGTAAGAAATACGCAAAAGGAAGATAGAAGTGTGTACACTCTGCGCGAAAGCAGGACGTGTCTCGTGCACGGACGATGTTGGAATTCAACTTGAAATGTGGTGGGCGCAAGCGAACTTAATGTTCATCTTTTGAAGCTCCGCATCTCCGATGGACCACAGACAATGGCCTGCCACAACTTCTACATTGAGTAAAATCATCACGCGCACCTCTGTAGCCTAACCTCATATCAGGGTTACGTTGCGCTTTGCGCCACAACGAGGGTATTGTGGCAGGCAAGAGCCACACTCTCGAGATGGGTGTTCATTATTCTTGTTTCGTCCCTCAGTGTGAATCTCTCAAGGAGAAATATTCAAGTCTTTCAGTTGACGAACAGCATGTTTGTTATCCCAGCTCCCCAACCGAAGCATCAACCTCTGGCCCAATTTCTTGACCGGTGGAATCATACTGAAGCGGACAGCCTGTATACTGCTGCCTCGGACGCCATATTGCGTTCTGTACTTCACATCTTTAATTATTTTGATCCACTACTGATTATATTTCGCAGAGCACTTCAAGGAATCAATGCACGGGTGACCCGCTCAGTCCATCCGAATACAAAGGGATTTTGGTCATGAGACACGCAAAGCAGCTTCAGGCAAAGCTTCAGTATTTTCGTGGACTGCTAGATGGTGCTACCTTGACAGGTAATCAGGCATCATTTGTCCAAAAATGCTCTGTAGAATTATGGAGCACATTAGAAGCCATCGATCGCCACTCGAATGATATTCATGACGATAGCAACGTCGACGAACCTCAGTCCATCGAAGTGCATGACATTGCTGATGCATCCGTACAATTCAAGATCTTGCCAACCATAGACTCTGGGAGCCACGGAGGGTGCAATACGAGAACTGTGTCGGAGAACAACGCGGCGCCAAATAATCCTGCGATTTTACCACCGCTTTCAAGCTTAGGTCTGAAGTTTTCGAGCCAATCTAAAAGTACCGGGGAGCAGATCAAGATCAAGACAACGACAGTCGCACCTTCCTCGTCGCCACATCCAGAGTTGAAATCATCGGCCCAAGTGTTCGGCGACAGGCATACTGGTCCCTTCGCAAAATGTGCACTTCCTCCAATATCGTCGTGGTATTCATCTTCGCCCACTTCACCGAAAATCTTGCATGGACCAACGTCCGTCCTTCCTAAGACATCTGGGACTTTACCTGCTCTCATCGCCCATTCCCATCTTGGTCCAAATACATACGCTAATGCAGGAAATAAGCAAGATACCGATGCTATTCTTACTCGGATGGCTCCCAGTGATGGACGGCACAGACAAAACTACTTTCACATACCAGGCGAATTCGATGAGCACGGATATAGTTCGCCAGACAGTCTTACGGGGAGTATTTCGTCGTGGCATTTGTCCGCATCGTGGTTTTCACAATCTCCCAAAACAAGACATAGAACGGATACGGTATGTACGATTCCGTGGCGACTTGAACATTAGCCAGTCTACCTCACCAATCTCCATGCACCGTTGCGGACCCGAGATGTCGTTGGCTTGTAGTATCATGTACACTTTAATATAATGCGATGCGGTTGTAAGCGGTTTATAACGAATATGTAAAGCACCAGTGGATAAAGAAATGCACCATAATTCGCAAGCACCGCAACCGGGTCACCGATCGCCTGGAATGTCTAGACCTGAATACTTTCCTATTATATCGATCGTTTAAGTGTTCAAACCCCGATGCGTCTCCGCTCATACTGTCGACAGCTGTCGACCTGGTTAGATCACAGAGCGGCCGGAGACTCTGTTCTGAACCCTCGTCTATACACTTGAAAATCTGCTCATCTCTGCTCTTTGTCGTCTGATTGTTCCATGAATAGGTCTACGAAACCATACAGTGTTAGTGCAACCTGCCTCCCCTATTTTGCGGCAACCATGGCTGACGCCCTGTGCTATCTAGCGACCGGCACCTCGTCCACGAGGTTCGGACGGCGAATGGTTACACGACAGGGCACCAATCGCCCCTGAAGTTCAAAATGTCAACGGATCGTCGACCAATGCGACTCCCAAGCTTATAGTGTCAAACTTACACTATGAGTTGACAACCAAGGATCTTACTGTACGTGTCACAAGCTGTGCATACACCACGATACCCATACAAATTTGTTGTATTCTAGCAAATCTTTGGGCAAGTAGGCACGCTAGTTCGTGAGCCACTCATCAGGGTACGAAACTCGAAATGCACCACGTTCACCTGAGAGACACCGATCCCGACCTCTTTCGCTTATTCGTCCTATAAAGTACGACCGCAGCGGCCGGTCGTCCGGTGTCGCTATCATCTCATTCGAGACTACACCAGAGGCAACAGCTGCAAAGCAGCGTTATGACGGGAAGCTTGCTAAAGGTAACCGTCTGGTTTTTCCTTCACACGTCTGTTGCGTCGGATCTTTCTCACCAACGCGGTCGGTTTCAGGACAACCCATGTCCATTGCATTTCATCAAATGCAGCACCCAGCAACTCGAAAGGGCCGCACCACCACTGGGTCATCCCTACTCAATCGGATACAAAAGCCTCCCCTTCTTGATCGCCTAAGTCGCACGCAAAGCGAACCACGCGATGTTTCCAAGTACGTCAGCCAGGGTGTCTTAGCTGCAAGCGCTCATTTACATGCCTGTATGTTAGAAAAAGTGGACCCGGGCCTGTGAGGACAAAATCTCGTCCTGTTAGGGAACCTCGTGCCCCGAAGAAGCCAAAAACAGCAGAAGATCTCGATAAGGAGCTGGACGCGTATCTCAAAGACGATGCTAAGCCTCCGCCTGCAGGAGTAGCGCCGCAGGCCAACGAGGATGTTGACATGGTCTGATTGGTTATTATGGTATTTTTGATTGTTCTTTGACTATTTCGCTGTATATATCGTATTCTGTATCGTACGTGTCGTTGCTAGTGTCGTTCAATAGTCTGCCCATTCATGAGTATAACCTTTGTGAGCATAGTGCCATGGATGAATAAAGATCGCGTTGGTACATTATTCATGATGAGGGTGCATTACAACTGCTAGCATTGCTCGTGCAATATGCAGTGCACCAGTGTCTTGTGAGTAGCCAGCGCATTCAAGCGCAAACCTCCCATCTTCCGTTACCGATGCACCACACCCTTCCCTCTGTCTTGGCCCACTCAAGAGTCTCCTCTATAGCCCAATCACCGACACGAGCCCAGCGTGCATCACGGCGTAACCATGCAAGGATCTCTGCGCACGTTGGACCTGGGGGTGGCGCTGGGGGACCATCGAGACATGCATGGAGATCAAAGGTCGGACGTCCCCGTGAGCGATTCTGGGCGGATACAGCTGCATGCGCCATAAAATCCAGAATGGCGCGTTCCACGACCCCAGCAAAGTAGGCCGGCGTCAACGGAATATATGCCTCTTCTCCAGGAGGAGGATCGCTGAGTTCTCCTTCGTGGTCCTCGACTTGAGTGTCAGGGCTAGTTGTCGAGAATATGGTGCTTGTGCTGGCGTTCGTTCTCCATAGCGTATCACAGGCTTGAGTCAGAGAAGGCAAGGGCAGTGGCCGTACAGGCCCGTCCCAGATGACAATACTTCCCTCCTCATATAATTGGCGAATGGCAAAGCGGAAGAGACGTTTCACTTTTGTATCTTTCGACTCTCGCGACGTCTCTTGCAATTTCCTGCTGCCCCTTTCCTTGCTTTGGCTTGGTCCCGCGTTCGCGCGTTTGCGTTCCTCTCGGGCACGTCGCCTTCCCTCAGCGTCTACTACGCGGTGGGCGAGCATCGCCAGTTCCGGAACGCGTCGGAGATGAGAAAGCGTGAAGCCACAGATTCTGGCTGCTTCATCGCCACCACCTCCATCTTCATCCTCTGTATCTGTACCTGCAGACAACCGGCTTATTCTGGACGACAGCCTTGAGGGCCGGGGTGTCTGGTCCGTTACACCTGTGAGGGCCCGCCCGGGGCGCGGGGTTTGTTCTTCACTAGCGAGGCTCGTGGGCCTGGTCTGTACAAGCTTCCTGGGCGTCTCAAAAGCCAGTCGATCACGTACAGCGGCAGCGTGCATCCGCTGACCGCTTCGCGGCAACGGAGAAGGCGACACCGATCTGCAGCTCGAAGGAGATCTACGCCGGGCGCTGGTGTGAGGCACATGATCCATGTAATGCTTGAGGTAAATGCGGAACGTATTCGCGGTAAGATCTCGTGAATGCAATCGTGATGGATATCGAAGACGAGGAGGGGACTGAAATCAAAGGATGTTAGATAGCGTGAATTTTCGCGCTCGGGTAAGAAAATGTAAGAATTGACTTACTTGAGGGTTTCGACCTCTTGAAGACGATGAGGCAACAGAGATAGGCGAGCCATCGTTAGATGACAACACTGAAGACGGAGTTTGGGGTTGGGATAGTATCGTATTGTGTGCAACATCATCTTTTTTGATAGATGATTCTTGTCCAGCCAAAAAGGGCGCTCTCCATTTCCCCTTTCCCTTATGAGGGCTTTCATCACTCATTTCAGCGTTTTTTGATTCAATGCGTTCCGAAAGAGCTAAGGAGCATGGAATAAGGAATGGCCCTAGCCCGGACGCAAAATAGCGACTGCGATGCAAGTTGACTACGGAGAGCCAGTGTGAAGGTTCATCGTTCAGGGATGTACAGGGTTCTGCAAGCCAAACACCAAGTCAGCTCGAGAGCTCAAGTCATAGGGTCAGATGGAAAGCTGGAAGACGGCCGACAGGCGTTCTGACCGTTGTTGTCAGTGATCGGGCACCGCTTTTCTATGCACGGCGCAATTGTCGTGACCTGAGAAATCACGTACTAATTTCATCAACTAGCAAAAGCCGCCCTTCGCCTCTCTTTACTATTCGGCCTACGACGCCGACAGACGTGCCTACTTGAGCGATAGGTTTCTGTAATAAGTTCAGTGAAGAGCGGTTATTATCGGAAGTGCGTGTGGGCTGTGGACGAGGAAAGCATCGATCAGCAGACGCCAGTGTTGGAGCCTTGGAAGCCGTAGAAGTCTTATTTGCACTAGAGCTGGAATGAGGATCGGTCCTCAAGTGATTGGATACGGGTACAGACTGAGCCGTATGCGGATGAACGCAGTCAAGTACTCCTGAGCCATCGTCCACTGGCACTTGCATATAAATCAAACAGCACAGCGTAGCAAAAATGTCACTCACATGAGTAAATAGTTCGACGCTCGTACACTTGCACACCAACCAATAGACCGACAAGATGTACAGTCCTGCAGGGAACCCGGCCCAGCCAAAAATATTCGGCTTCTGTTACACGATGCATTTCAAACAATTGGTCAGACTAAAATTATCTACCACAAGTGGCGAGGAGGGCGGATTCTACCCACCCTTGTATCCACTATCACGCATATCCCTCACATCTTTGACGAAACACGGCGCGACAGCATCCCGCAAGAGTGTCCACTTCCATATTTCTGCAGGTGTCGGTAATGGAGCATTCGTATCGACGAGCTGCGTTACAGATGCGCTAGTACACTCTACAGCCGTTGTTGGTGCGGGTATTGATGGTGCGGTCACTGTGGCCCTGGATGAGCTGAATACCGCCAGATGGTCGTCTACACGCCGTCGTTTGGAGGGAGAGATGATGATAGATGATGAACGCGTCATTCGCGCCGTCTTGCCTGTTCGTGTACTGTCGCGTTGCGAAATTGTTTTCGTGGAACTCATTGTCGTGAATGTGCCGATTCGTTTGATTCAGGGATTAGCAGGAGATCAGTCGTGTGCCAGCGATTTTGAGATGTGTCGACAGGAGAGAACATAGATGACGTTGAAGATGTCAATTTATCGAGCATTCATGAGGACAAGTAAGATAGTGTATTAGCCACTGCACAGACGATATGCACCACACAACAGATTCCCTCGTCGTGTCAGCGGAACCGAAGCAAAACGGTCAGCGAGCGTCGTGTTGACGAGCTGCCTTCAAGGGTTTGGAACGCGTGAGGACCACAACGCGTACACGTGCTGCCTCGTACCAGCCATGTGACCAAGGCGCCGAAAGGCTCAACTTCCGACTCCCGAGTGACAGTCTCCGACTCGGACGTCCGTCAAGCCTGCAAGGCGGACTGGAAGCTGCAAAGAAGTTGAGGCCAGCGTTATGTTGGCATTACCCCTCGATATCTGATTGAAATGGTACGGAGATTTAGACTGTTTGAATGAGTTTGCGCCACTGGTGTTCATTCAAGCTCTGTCAATCATGCGGCAGCTGGCAAGCTAATTGGTGGCTAGTCAGGTCTCTACCGTATGAGCTTTCTGTACTACTAGTAGACTCCTGCTGACATCATGATCTATGTAGATGGAACTTATGACTCCAAGAATTGTTTCCGACAATTTAGTCACATCTTCCTGGCGCTCTCTTTGCGGTGCCACTTATTGCCAACAACTTGAAATGTAGCGTCACAGTCTACGCAGGTATGCGTTTCCCCCATCAAGCCCAGTCTCGGACCATCGCTCCTGTATCTTCTGATTTTTAAGGGGTTCATCTCCATCGATCCCCGCGTTCCTCTTCATCATCAGTTTATCCCAATCTGCGTCTGAAGGGGTAACGCGCCTGCCAAGCCTCATGCTACCTCCGCTCTTGCGTCTCGTGGTCATGGACGTCGGTGTCGTAGCCTAGTGCTAGCTAAGCTGCTGAACCAATTCCAAGGGACGTTGTGCCCGCCACATATCCTGAGGTACACCGAGAAATCGCCGCAAAGTGTTACTGGGCGGAACTGGTCTGACCCTGCGTGATGTGGACATCCCTGGCCGTCGCGGTAGATGGCGCCCTCATCCTCGGGCTGGAGCTCGAACGGAGTCTGCTAGCGATTGAATCTACCGGGTCTTGGTCATGGGCTTCTCAACCAAGCGACATCAAATATCCAATACCGGTGGCCACGAACGCGACTGACTGCGCTGTTTCCCAGCCCCCCTAGATGCCTCAGATACACGCACTGCATGTTTTATCGGGTACCAAGCCAGCGAATAAGGAACCAAACCAACTACATGCTACAAGTGCAACGAGTTTTAATAATCGCTTTGAGTACATTAATACCTACTAGTACGCTGTCATATCGACTTTTCCCAGAGAACAAACAGGCTGCACACGCTATCAGAAGTAACCTGCCATTCTCGGGAACATAGACGGTGCGTGATGTTCAGTTCCTCTTGTATCCGTCTTTGAAGTCTGAATTCTACACACATGTAAAATATCTCAGCTCTCACACACTGGCTGGCGGTTGGTACCAAAAACAGCACGCGCCTTAGTATATGTTTTCCCCGCATCATTCTTCCTCTTTGTCGGCGCCGGCTGTGCGATATGGTTGGAATGATTCTGGGTCTCGTCCGAGCCTTTCCCCTGTGTCGAGAGGGGCATACTACGATCAGCACAAACCGTCGCATTCGTAGATTATAGTGTGGCTTACGCTCGACATCGTCAGCGCCTCTGCAACGATGCCTCCTGCCTCTCCCTCCTTTCCCGGAAGAGGTAGACGAGTTGGCTTAGGCTCATGATCGGGCATCTGGTGCGCGAAGTTGTGAGAATCTTTAGCAGGATTGGGCGGCACGGTCCCAGGCTGTTGTTGGGCGTGGCGCAATTGCCCTACGGTGCCGACAGAACTCGTCAAAAGCTGGCTCATGGGATCGGAGGGGATAGGGACGCACAGGTGGGTACCTCTGACAGATTCTTTACTTCTGCAGGGTTACGCTTACCCTGGACATGAAACTGCGCGAAGTAAAATCCAATGAGGCCTGCTGCGACAACCGACATTCCAGCAAGCATTGTCTGTGTCTGTATGGGCTTCAGGCGTGGCGAACAAGATGATATGGCTCACGGTGAGGCTACCCCCTTGACTGACTGGCTGAGGGGCTGTCCCAGGAATTTGAGCAGGGTGCGCACTCAATTTCGTCCCATAATTCCTTACGATCCTTGTAGAGGAAAACACAGAGCGTATCATGACCTGGAAGACTGCAGTTTGTGTTGGTGGTGGTAAACTTGAACAAGGACGCTGTCGACGTCGACGTCGGCGGGCCTGCTTCGGGGCGGCCGGCGACACTAGGACGGCGACGGAGGCAGATCAGTGGCGACTGGGCGGCTCGGGCCGATGTGGCTGTCTATGACGCAATGGCACTTCGATCATCCCCACACCCCATACACGCGCAGATTGTCGATCATGCACTAACACCTTGCTTGTACGCGAAAGACGCCACATTAGCGCGAGTACTGGTACTCTCAGACAAAACGACGAGTTGTGTCTGTTGCCCACTAAGGGCTAGTCAGCTTGACGCTATCGATTTCATTGTTGGTAGCAGCGGAAGAGAGTGGTGTGTCAACCGACTCAGCTACCGGATCCTACCATCACCAGCACAGGAAACTGGTCATCGAATGCTCCAAGGTGGAATGCGGTCTCACCTCGTATGTCTGCGTTTATTGTTGTCATTGGTACTTGACAACTGTCTAACAGAACCTGTATAAATATTCACAGGCTATTTATAGCATACGACCACCTGCGGGGCCGGTAGTATACTACAAGTCTCCGCTTAGAGGTCTCTTCCTTAGTGGTCGATATCGGTCGCTTCGGCCCTTCGGGTCTTGCATCTCATGCCCGGCTGAGCTCCACCACGCTATTGTCACAACTCGAACAGCTTCTGTACCGATGAGTGGTCCATCATATGCAGGTAGTAAGCTTCACTGACAGCAGTCGCAGGTGAACGACATAATGTTCGAACCGGGCACGTGAATAATCACCAGGACAACTGTGCTACACATACCCACGGCACCCGTAATCACCGCAACCGTGTATTGGACTGCGGACACGACCACTTTTTTCTGTTTAATAGTGCAGTGGTCATCGTCACGTTATTTCGCACATTTTCACGTCTGTGTCTCGCCCAGAGTTGGCGTCAGTGAACAAAATGGACATCCGCTTTCACATCTGCTTCGTTCTTATGAGCTCGGGTCCCTGTTCGTCGAGATCCGGCGTCCCCGCTGCTAGCGTCAGTTTCACGTGTGATGTACAGTCTTTGTACCGTAGCCGTGAGATGCCTGACGCCATCATGTCAGACAGACCATCTACATTTTCATCAATTGCCGACACGGACGACCTCCACATGATGTCGGGGACACCGAGCGCCCCGAATGAGATCGCATCGAACTCATGCCGAACGGCACACTCCAGCAATTCAGGAAGACCCTTCCGTGTTTGGCAACACCATGAATGCCGCTGAGCTCCCCTCTGCGACCTTGTTCTCGCGGCGAATGTGTCCAGCAGCGACTTATCTTTCCCAACGAGCCGACGTGGGCGTAGGACCACATAGCGCCCGTTCGATCTGTGCTTCGTAAATTCTCGCACTTCTGTCTCGATTTAGCAACAGTCGAATTAAAGTGCTGCGCATGCCACCGGGGCCATCAGCATCACCTTGGCTTGAAAAGTTTGTCTGTTCATAGCGCTTCTGGCCAAGGGATGTTCCAAACTCCGCAGCTAGCCCACTACTCGCCGGACGAGGTAGCATGTGGGGGGCTGCCAAGGGCCAAGGAACCTTGAGCTGCTCCTGGAGGCCCTCAATGACCGACAGGGCAAGTACATCCGATGTGCAGGGATCTAGCGTCAGAATCCGCAGGTCTCACCGTCTCACGCCGCCGGGCTGGAAGCACGTCGATATGTGGCTAGACTGCACTGGTGGGTTTCGGTTTTGTGACGGCACCTGTCCCCCTCCTGATCCTTGAACCGAAGTGGACCCTCGCAGACTTAGTGGTGGTGCCTCGCTTGTTATTTGCCTGATACAGGTGCAAATGGCAGGGGTATGCATAGCTCCCGCTGTGCCCAGCTGATCAGCTATGGCCGGTGAACCAATATGCAATGGTTCCTGATTCAAGGTTTCGACCCAGCCAGAGATCATAGTGGAGTGTTGTTTGACCCGATGCTGCGGGGAAATGTGGGAAGCAAGACGGGAAATTTCTGGGGAAATTCTTCCATTTCTGCATCACATGCCCCACCCCGACTCGGACGTGAACCTACTCTGTGCTGCTGTCCATCTTCGCCTATAAAGCCTCCATGAAAGCGTCCCTGTTCGCTAGCCTGTCTATTGTGGCACCTCCCTCTTTTTCCGCACACAAGTGATCTCCCCACGATGGGTGCTGGTCCCGTAGCAACTCAATCAAATGGCGCGCATGCTCCGAATTACGAGAAGTTCTTGGACCCCAAGCGGCAGTGGTACAACAACCGGCGGTGAGTCTCGTTTTCTTCGCTTCTCGTCATGCTGTCGAGGCTTATAGTGGCACGGTAGAATCATCACCCTCCATGCATGGATTGTCCTCCTGTGAGTTCTTTGCCGCTATCCGCAATACTCATTCTGGAAGTTTTTTCCCCCTTTTAGGCTCATCACGTCGTCTGTGAACGGGTTCGATGGCAGTTTGATGAATAGTTTTCAGTCACTAGGCACATGGGAAAAATACTTCCACACCCCTCAGGGGTCTACTCTCGGTCTCCTCAATGCCATTCAGGTAGACAACATACATCTGAGTCAATAGAGTGACCTCACTCTCTGTCAATACTGTAGAACATCGGATCCCTCGCCGCATACCCCTTCGCACCATACCTTACTGATGGCATCGGCCGGCGACTCACAATATGGATTGGTGCCGCCATCATGCTAGTTGGTGTCGCCCTCCAAACCGCGGCACAAAACCTAAACATGTTTATCGGTGCCCGTTTCTGCATTGGTTTTGGTCTGACATTCGCAAGTGAGTTTATGCTATATATACTACCAGTGGTCTTCAGCTGGTCCTCTGCTTCTAGCAAATGCTGCTCCATTGCTTGTCACCGAAATTGCGTACCCGAGGTATCGTGCACAATTGACCTCGCTTTACAATTCACTTTGGTACTCCGGTAACATCGTGTATGTCTTCTTATGGTACTGATTTTCCGGCGCTGTAATTCACTGGCTCGCCTTTGAAGCGCCTCGTGGACAACGTTTGGCACGCAGTACATCGGAAACACTTGGTCATGGCGCATTCCCTCTGTCATGCAGGGTCTCCCGTCCCTCTTCCAGTTCTTCCTTGTCCTTCTCGCGCCAGAGAGCCCACGTTGGCTCATTGCAAAGGGCAGAGAACAGGAGGGTCTCAAAGTCCTTGCCTACTATCACGCAGATGGCGATGATCAAGATCCTCTCGTGCAATACGAGTTCGAAGAGATCAAGGCAGCTATCCAGCTTGATCGCGACTGTATGTCCCTATACCCTTTTCATTGGCCTGAGGACTGACGGTTTTCCGGCACTGTAGCTGCCAAGAACATCGGTTGGAAGTCACTCGTTACGACGAAAGGTAACCGAAGGCGTATGATAATTATCGTTGCGATTGCTTGGTTCTCGCAGTGGTCCGGTAACGGCCTTGTATCGTACTACCTGTCCAAGGTATTCGACACCATCGGTATTACCAACCAGACGATCCAGCTGCTGATTACCGGGTAAGTTCGCTCACTATATCGCCGGCGTTGGAGCTCAATCAGTATCGCTCGTCTAGCATTTTAGCCATCTGGAACTTGTTCTGGGCCGTGTTGGCCTCGTTCCTTGTAGAGCGCCTCGGTCGCAGGCTCCTATTCTTGACGTCTGCAGCGGGGATGCTCGTCTTCTTTACGCTGCAAACCATTTGCTCTGCCCGGTTCGCGATTACTCAAGACACAGCCGCAGCGCACGCGGTCATCGCGTTCATCTTCCTCTTCTACGCTTTCTACGAGTGAGTACTGTGGTCTGTTATCGTTCATGATGATGTTAACATGTCAATTAGCATCGCATTCACTCCCCTCATTGTATCTTATACCGTTGAGATCTTACCGTTCTCTCTCCGTGCGAAGGGCTTCAATGTGTTCAACTTCACCGTCTCCGTCGCTCTCGTTTTCAACCAGTATGTGAATCCCATCGCGCTTCAGAACATCGCATGGAAGTACTATGTACGTCGTTGTATCATATGGGCCCTGTGTTCCTGGTTGACCGTTTTTATTAGATCGTATATGTTTGCTGGATTGCTTTCGAGTTCGTATTCTTGTACTTCATGATCGTCGAGACGAAGAACCTAGCGCTGGAGGAGATTGCTGCGCTCTTTGATGGAGAGAATCTTCAGGAGCATATCACTCACCCCACGGAAGTGCGCGCGGATGAAAAGGACTTTAACGAAAAAGCATCAGCATGATTTTCACTTTGGGTGCAGGGTACGCGATAGTACAAGACTGCTGCAGACATGGACTGTGATACCATTCGGGCTTATGGGATGCACGTTTGTCTTGGGCTTGGAATGATGATACTTTCATTCTTCCATTTCCCAGATGCACGTTGGCAATGTAATATTTTCATGTTTTTTTTGGAAGATTGTACCATAATGACCTTTCACGAACCGGTGTATATTAGTTAGTATATCCTTTACGTTACGTAGCACGCGCGGCTCAGTCGTCAACGCATATTGTTCAAACTTTATAAAGCTCGAAATCAAGCGTTCTTGTTAGTAAGAGCTAACTACTGAGCGCTGAACACTAACTCGTGATACCGGGCTAGATATCAAGTTCAGCACGAGAATTCTGTCCTTTGCTCATATGCATGCGGACAAGTTAGCGTCTATTGGACAAATCCATCGCCTGCAGCTGGACGCATGAGCGACAGATAGCTAGCGGATTGTTGATAAGGCTAGTCGCAAACGCAACCAATGGGGGACAGGTGGGACTCTGGGGGTGGGTGGCCTGACTGCCAAGAGTACGTAGACATCAGATTTCGAGCGACGTATACGAAATGTTCGGTATCGTTGGAATTTACTTATAGCATCATTGCTCCATGATCATAGAGATTATTGTATTCAGGATGGGGTGACAGTTGGTCGTCATTTCATTTGACGCAAGTCCCGTCAACTATTTGCTAACTTACGTTTTTCAAGTCAATGTGGCATACAGCGTGAGCAGGAGAATGTTCAGTCCTAGCCGACAAATTTTGGCATACTTAAAATCTCGGGATCAGCAAAACCAGACGGGGTGAGTGAAAGAGTTCATATGATGGTGCACATTCTGCAAGTGAGACAATTACTACTTGAATTTCTTGTGTAGAACTCACATGGCCATATGTGGCGCGCTGAAGACGCCATCACTGTCATGCGAGCCATGGCACCTTTCAAAGGGTCACGTGGTATCATCTAAGGCGAGCACTATTGGGTGCACTGTCAAGTACAGTGGTGGTATTACGGCTGGGCCAGACCCATTGACCCAGCCCGTGGGATCAGAGTCAATGCGTGACCGACCTTTACGGCCTCGGACCCACGTTGGGCTGACCCTTAGCATCTCGCTTTAAGCGCGCACCGCGGCAGCGGCAGCAAAATAGCCATTTTGATTTTATCCATATGAGCGCTTCTAACAATCCTCCCGTCCGCAGCCTCAGCCACATCCTCCATGTTGCGATTTCTGCCTCGGATTGTTGGTCGTCCATGTGCTGCATTCGGTGCAAGGATTTTGGTTATATTTGTACGTCGCCCGTGTGATCTCTGGATAAATGCTGAAAGAACCACGGAGCTGTAGCTTGCTCTGATAAGCACGATAGCTGGGAGCCCTAAGTTGGCATTGGAGAACCATGGCGCTCCTTGAGTCCAACGCTATCTTGACGGGAGGCCACATGTCATGTCTTCTATCTTTTATCTCCTCCAGAGTTCCTGGCACACATCCTTGCATTCAAAAGCAGGGCGCCGGACTGGTGGGTATCTCGACTTTGTAGGAGGATCCCCCTTCTTCGGTCTGCATCATGTCTCCTGCTCCGCAGCTGCCCATGTACGATGACGAGAAGTCTTCGCTCGAGAAGGATCAAGATCAAGATCAACTTGATGTCATCGACGTCCAGAAACTCAAGGAGGCAGACGAGCTCGAGGACAGGATCAAGAATGACACAGCCGAAGAGGGTGAATATCGCGTCGAGGCAGCATATGAAGTGGCAACGAAAGTGCGGCTATACATCATGCAGCATGATTATTTGGCTATAGAGTTTTGTCTACTAGGTCCTGTCGGCGAGGGATGATCCCGAGCTCCCAGCGGTTACCTTTCGGACGGTCTTCCTAGGGCTCGGCTTCTCAGCGTTCGGCGCGTAAGTATGTCCTTTCAATCGCTAGCTCCTTGCTAAGTTTTCGTAGCGTCCTTGCTCAGATCTACTACTTCAAGCCGCAGACGCTCTTAGTTTCCATTCTACTTCTGCTCGTACTTTCATATTGGTTTGGTAACGCTATGCACATGCTCTTGCCCTCGAGGGGGCTATTCCGGTGGCTCAATCCTGGACCATTCAACAGCGAGTAAATTCATTTCACACAGATCCGCTTGGTGATTAACTGTACTTAAGTAAAGGAGCATGTTGCGATCGTCATTATGACCTCAACTGCGTCCACTTCCGCAACTGCGATTCAAGTGATCTCTGTTCAAGCACGTACGCACAATGTCTCTCACACGAATTATTTAATTATGGCTTACACGATGGGCAGTATTTTACGACAACAACATGGTGCTTTTTTCTTTTATGGAAAATATGAAATATTGTACTGACTATCCGTCTAATAGAATGCGGGCATTGCAATCTTCACTTTGATTGGCTCACAGTTGATAGGCTATGGATATGCTGGTCTTTTGCAAGACGTTCTTGTGAAACCGACCAAGTGCTTCTGGCCCTCGAACAGTATGTCAGCATACCATCCCTGTAGTACACGCCATTGAGTCCATATCCAGTTTACACGGCCAATCTTTTCCAGGCCTTGCATTTCGACAGCCAGATGACCTCCAAGCGCGTACGCCTATTTTGGACAATATTCGCAATCCTTTTCTGCTGGGAGATTGTTCCCGAATGTATGTCTCGTCCACTGTCGTTGGTTTGTAATCGCACCCTAACGAGTCACTTCATCAGGGATTTTCCCTCTCCTCACTGGGGTATCCGTGTTCTGCTTGGCCGATAACCACAGTGCAGTTATCAGGAACATCTTTGGTGGAGCAGACAACAACGAAGGCATGGGCCTGCTCGCGTTGTGCTTCGACTGGAACTATATCGGGAGCTCCTCAATGTGGCAGCCGCTCTGGTTTCAAATTAACGCGTATATTGGGATTTGCTTCACCTATATCTTGATGTCGGCGGTCTACTGGGGTAATTTGTGGAAGGCACAGAACTTCCCATTCATGAGCCAGGCTATCTTTGTATGTTTGCTCTTACTGGACAGAAGGCAGAACTGACATTTTTGTACTCCCAGGCAGAGAATGGAACAGAGTATGATCAGACTGCTCTGTTGACTAACGGCAAATTTGATCCGAACAAGTACAAGGAGCTCGGGGTACGTCAGAGTTTCGAGAGATGATAGGTCATGACTGAAGTCTGCTTTACCCGAATAGCCTGCCTATTTCGCTGCCACCAATGCACTCGGACTGATTACGGCAAACTTATCCTTGGGTGCACTTCTGACCCATGTTGCTGTCTGGCACTACGACGATCTGAAGCCATTTATTGTCTCGCTCAACCCTTGGAATAAGTCCTCATATCTCATTCACGATGTGGTGAGTTATCCTCAAATATCAGTCTGGTTTGTCGTTGATAGAGATGAAATACTCTTCAGCACTATGAGAGAATGAAGATATACAAACAGATTCCTCGTTGGTGGTACATAATTGTACTATTTGGGGCCTATGGGATGGCACAAGCAAGTCAGTCAATCCTGGAATACCGGCAGCTCCGTGTTGCTAAATATTTTCGCAGCCAATTATACTGGAAAGTCTGGATTGCCATGGTGGGCTCTCACGGTGCTTCTGTTCATCGGTTTCATCTTGTGCGCGTTGTATGGCACATTGGCTGCGACGATCGGGTTTTCCAGCAATGCTGCAGGCTTTTTCGAGATGATCACCGGTGCATACGACAGGCTTAGCTTAATCGCAATACTCTTCTCACCCTTTTATAGCATATATGGTTCCTGGAAATCCTGTCGCAAACATGTACGGTGCATTGTATGGAGGACAACCCATCACGCAAGGTATCGCTTTCTTATCTGATCTGAAGCTGGGTCAATACGTCAAGTTGGCGCCTCGGGTGACTTTCTGTATGCAGATGTCTGGTGAGTAACGTTTTCTCTCTCTGTCTCTGGCTTGTTGAAGGACAATTGATCCTCGTATTCAAAATATGTTTCAGGCACTGTTATTGGGGCGCTCTTGAATTGTATGTATCATCTCCACCTCTAGGCTTTTGACATGTAAATTGAGCATTGAGCAACTCCAGACGTTATGATGCTATCTATCATCGACGCACAGAGACCAGGTGCGCCTACTGAATACCTTTCTCCGCCCCGGTTTGGACTCACCTCCATTGATACAGCACTTTTGTCCATCTCCGGGACTCGGTGAGCTGCTCGCGAAGATTCCAACTTCAAATATCTAACTTCAAATAGTCTCTGGTCCGGCCAGAACGCGCAAGGATATAATTGTGAGCTTTCTACTTCTCGAGTTCCAATCACTATACTGACACGAGGGTGGTCAGCTAATGCTATTGCTTGGGGAGCTCTTGCTCCGCATATGTTCAGCCCGCACGCTACATATCATATGGTGCCTCTATCGCTTGTAATTGGGGTCTTCCTTCCTTTACCATTTTATATCGCGGTGAGTGGATCGTCCTTGGCGGCTTGTCTGGCCGACGGATTGATCCGCTTTGGACAGTATCGCATTTGGCCAAAAGCCGGTTTTGAACACTTCAATACATCTATCATTATGCTTGTGAGTCTGATGTCTACACTGGACTGACATTGACTGTAGTTCTGATTGTACCAGTATTCATGTTGGTTGGCAGTTGGGGTTAACACCCAAGTAAAGTAAGTTTTTTTGTGTCCAGTCCTTTCCGACTTCGCTTATGTGCCCAAATATAGCACAACTATGGCGATTGGGATCTTCGTACAGTGGTGGGTACGCACACGTTATCCGCGTTGGTTTGTGAAGTACAAGTACGTGCATTCGAAGCCCCCACTAACGCGTTAGCACTTAAACGCACTTTCGTTGCAGCTACATTGTTGCCGCTGCCATGGATGGTGGCACCCAAGTGGTTATGTTTATTTTGAATTTTGTGAGTAATTCTGTGGTTAGACTGAAGCAGTGTTAGCTTATCATACAATGTTCTAGGCTGTATTCGGTGCTGCTGGAAATGCACATGCTTTTCCTCAGTGGTGGGGAAATGGCACATTCTACAGCCATCTCCTTGAACATGAGTTATTGAATTCCCATGTCAGACCTCAACCTGTCTGCAGATCGCTGCGTTCCACCACCGCAGTGAAATAAGCCCATTTTAATCTAGGAGCTTATTTACGAAGTTGACAGCATGGATATAATTGTTATTGTGTTCTAGGACACTGTTTATGAGTCCCCTCGCGTGAGCTCACTGGCAAGCCTCAACTTGAAGTCCTCCTTGGGTCGATAATTAAATTTCTTGACCTAAGAACATTGACCGGGACCCCTCATTAAAGAGCCGATTGTGAAAATATTGAGCCATGCCCATATTGGCTGTAAAGAGTAACTCCGATCGTGACTGCTCAGTACACAGTGCTAGCAAATCTAAGTATTCAACCAAACGCTGGCCACCGCCATCAAGCAGCTAGCGGGGCCGTGGCTCAAAAGCGGATATCTGAAAAAGAAAAGTCGTGTCGCATGTAAAACGCATACCTCACTGGTCTACTATACCCAAGCAGAGGTGGTCCTATCCAGCTTAAAGTGTATCTACACGCAGCGGCAGACCGAAACCTGCAGACCCGTAAAGTTGCAGTGTCCTGAATTCTGAGATAACTGTCACTGAGCGCAGAGAGGTCTCTCCACGGGCATAATTCGGTATACATTTTGTCACCTTAGAGTGGAAATTGGATACATAATGTCGTGGGATTTGCTGTGCTTTTGCCTTATCCTACCCATAGCCGCTCTCACAATTTCGCATCGTTCTCCTTCATATCCACGATTTGTCATCATGACATAGACACAGCTGTTTTGGGGGGACGTGTCGCCTAAATAAAAAAACAAACGCCCATAGCTGTGGCACTGACTTCACAAAGACCGAATTGTGAAGTCAGTATGCCAACATTTCACGCAAATATATATATGCAGCATTAATATAATGGACATAATTGTCCATTTAAAATACATTTCCAACGAACACGAGCAGTGTCGGCCGTGAAACAGTGTCTCCATATCGCGCGAGGTCTAGCGCCAGCGCCTGACGCACTTCGAGTAATTAATAATATCGCAAGAAAATATGGTCACATGCCATAATCTCACGGGACAGTGGATGGAAATACCTTGCTCGGAGGGTAACTTACAAGGAAAGCAAGGAATCTACAGACCGGTGAGCCGTGTTATAGTTCAATGAAGGCGAACTTCCGAGTGAGCTCCCACAGTACATTTTCTAGCTAAACGAGCTCAACGCTTGCTTTGCAAGTTTGCCAACCTTTGCGGGACTGTATACAGACAGGGAAACATTCTTTTCACGCCAGATGGTAACTCAGTTCTGAGTCCTGTTGGGAATCGGGTGTCGGTATTTGACCTTGTAAAGTACGTTGCGCTCTGTATTCATGATATGCGGCCAGTCTGCTGATGACGATCAGCAATAAGTCTCGTACATTCCCGTTCGAGAACCGGAAAAATATTGCAGCTGTCGCGCTTAGTCCGGATTCGAATGTGCTAGTCAGTGTAGACGAAGGTACGGTCTGCGATGTTCCCCAATACAAGTCACATACATAGGCTCATCGTCGCTATCGTAGATGGTCGTGCTTTGCTAGTGAATTATCGACGAGGGGTAGTGTTGCATCACTTTAATTTCCACAAGCCCGTGCGGGCTATTAAATTCTCTCCGGACGGCAGGTGCGTTCGCTCCGCTTTTACTGACAAGCAGCACCTTCTGACCTCATTGTAGGTATATCGCAGTCACGCACGACTCTCACATACAAGTCTGGCGGACACCAAACCATCTCATCCGGGAGTTTGCTCCGTTTGACCTCCACCGGACATACACCGGCCACCACGATCAGGTTCTGAGTATCGAATGGTCACCAGATTCGAAGTGAGTTAAATTACCCATGTACCCAGCCAGTGGCCTCATGCATATAGTATAGATGTTTCATCACAACTTCTCGTGACATGACTGCTCGACTCTTCACCGTCGACCCCGTTGAGGGATTCCGCCCCAAGACATTTGCTGGTCACAGAGATATTGTTATCAACGCGTACTTCTCAGCGGATGCCAAGACTGTAAGGGAAACACTTTTTCTAACGAGCATGTTTTTGAAGATGATTTTCGTCAGATCTATACAGTCAGCCGTGACGGCGCCGTGTTCACTTGGAAAGCTAAACTGTCTAAAGATGATTCTGATTCTGATGAATCCGTTCCAATGGCTTCCACACAGACAGTAGCCGACTCCATTGCTCATACTCGTTGGGGTGTTCACAAACGAAATTACTTCAATCAACCCGGAACAAGGGTCGTATGCAGCACGTTCCACCGCGTCTCTAACCTCCTGGTTGTCGGCTTTTCCTCAGGTGTATTTGGCCTTTGGGAACTCCCCGGATTCTCGAACTTGCATACGCTGAGTATATCACAAGAGAAGATTTCATCTGTTGCTGTGAACTCCTCAGGAGAATGGCTTGCTTTCGGTGCAGCAAGACTTGGACAACTTCTCGTGTGGGAGTGGCAGAGCCAATCGTATGTCCTCAAGCAGCAAGGGCATTTTTCAATGATGAACACCCTCGCGTATGCGCCCGACGGTGTTAATCTCGCCACAGGGGGTGAGGACGGCAAGGTCAAGCTCTGGAATACCTCATCCGGATTTTGCTTCGTAACATTCAGCGAGCATTCTGCTCCTGTGAGCGCAGTCGAGTTCGCGAAGGCAGGTCAGGTGCTTTTTTCTGCATCCCTCGATGGTACGGTGCGTGCAGCGGATCTGGTGCGATATCGTGTCTTCCGCACCTTCACGTCACCCACCCCCGCGCAATTCGCATCCTTGGCAGTCGATCCTAGTGGAGAGGCTGTTGCGGCGGGCTCGCAGGACAACTTCGAGATATGCCTTTGGAGCGTGCAGACTGGGAAGCTCCTGGACGTCCTCGCCGGACACACAGCACCCGTGTGTGCGCTCGCCTTCTCACCTACCGGTAACCTGCTGGCTAGCGGGTCATGGGATCGGACGGTGCGTCTCTGGGCGGTGTTTGGACGTAGCCGTGCCGTGGAGCCATTCCAAGTGTCGTCAGACGTCCTGGCCATTGCGTTCAGACCGGACGGTAATGAAGTAGCTGTGGCAACATTGGATGGGCAGCTGGTCTTTTTTGACGTCGTTGAGGGGAAACAAACGGGTATGATTGACGGTCGAAGGGACGCTGCGCCTGGGCGGAAGGCGGGCGACGTGAGAGTAGCCCCGAACGGCGGGGCGCAAACTAGCCTGTGCTATACTGCTGACGGGCGGTGTATTCTTGCGGGCGGCCGAAGTCCGTATGTCGCGCTGTATGATGTCCGTGCGGGTGTGCTGCTCAAGCGATTCCGGACGTCGGAGAACCTGAGTGTGGACGGGACACAGGAGATGCTGGATAGTCGTCGGGTTACTGAGGCTGGGAATATCGACCTGATTGATGAGAGGGGAGACGACAGCGATGTGGAAGTACGAAGGGGGAGAGACGAAGAACTGCCTGGAGCGAAGCGGTCCGACCTGGCGAGAAGGAGAGTACGAGAGGAAGTAAGGACTTCGTGCGTACGCTTTGCGCCGACAGGGCACGCATGGGCAGCTGCGACAACAGAGGGTCTCCTGATCTATTCCTTAGACGAGGATGTCGCCTTCGACCCAGTGGATTTGGCACTTGACGTCACGCCACAATCCGTGCTATCGCTCTTGTCTTCCCGCTCCTTCCTTCCCGCCCTAATCACTGCTTTCCGATTGAACGAGCGCGCTCTAATCCATAGAGTGTTCTCGGCAGTCCCGAGAGATGACATTCGTTTGTTAGTTAGGGGTCTGCCAAAGAAGTATGTCACCGCGCTTGTAAGGTGCATAGCGGAAGCTTTGGAAGGCAGCCCACGAGTGGAGTTTGTTATGGCATGGGTCACTGCAGTGCTCGGTACGCATGGGAGGTATTTGAAAGAACACTCTGGAGAGAACGGCAGTGTTCTTCGCGCGTTGCAGAAAGCGTTGAGCGAGTTCGAAGCTCTAGTGGTCAACCTGTGAGTACACAGGTCTTTCCTTGTTTCTTTTCGCAATCTGCAAGCTGATGGATGTATCTGCGGCAGATGCGAAGAGAACAACGCGACTCTTGCGTTTCTTGTGGACCAGATGAAAATGAAGCAGGTCGAGGAATCTATAGACGTGCAAAATGCTGCGATGCTTGAGGCGTAGCAAGTTTTGACGGATGTCCATCTTAAAAGTACCATACTGTATGCTACTACAGGTTATAGCAATCTATTACAGATCCCTAGAATCTTGCCCTTTTTACCCGCAAACACCGTGAAGTCATAACAACATGGCAGCTCTACCCCAACAAGAAGTCAAGCTGCGATCATACCGGCTGCAATTAGTGCGTTGCACCACTGCGCTGGCGCGTGACGTCACGTATATATTCTCCTCACCTTGGAGCTCGCACCTCATCGTCTGTTCATAATGACGTTGCCATGCAAGTGCCAAATGCTCCTCACAATCTTTGTTTATTATACACATACAAGATGGGCTCAGCACACTTCATCTCCCAAGAGATCTACGACAATTGACTGCGATCATCATGAATGTTAACGAAACCCATCGTAGGCCCGTACGGACTCAGACTCAGATTGGTCGTGGCGGAAACCCGAAAGTGCGTCCTGGTTTCTGCCTGATCGCTTTGTATCTTACCGCACGAACCAGAAACTTTTCGCTGGGGTTGCGGTCGTTAGTGCAGGACTTGGACTTTTCTGGTACACTCAGAAGTGGGATCATCGCAAAAAACAGGAAGATGTGCGCCCTGGGGCTATTCCCACATGGGAGTATCGCATGAATCAAGAGCGGACGGCTGAAGGACGACCGGCAGACTCTCTCACCCAGCATGTCTCCGGCGTGGAACCTGTCTCGCGACCTAAAGACGTTCCTCTTCCAGGATCGAACGACGACACGTCCGGGAGTGCAATTCTGACCGCCACACATGTTAGTATCTCGGCGATAGTGCGGCAGGTACAGCTACAACTGATCTCTCTACGTACCACAGGGCAAGGGTTCCGACCAGACACAGAGTTCACCGGAGCACGCTGACGAGCCACCCAAAACATCTCGTACAAACGACAGTGGCGAGACTTATTCAAAGGTGAGTACAGCGTGAATGCGAAACTATCTGGGCTTATGGCTGTGACAGCATCCGGATTACATACCGAAGAAGTAAATTATCACTTTTTGCTGTCGGCAGCTCCTAGAGTTGCGACTGGATGATTGTAGCCAATCACTCTTTTACATCTATACCCCCAAATAATATCGTGCTACCCCCGTTCCTACCTGTCTGCTCGTTCCAGTCTCACAGCAATAAACTGTCGACCTCCACTGCAATCACTAACAATCCCCTACCCGGACAAGCTTGCCAAATAGGTTGGGACCCGAGCCATTAAACGGCCCGCCTCAGATCAAAACGGACGTCCAAAGACAACGTCGCATGGTTCATTCTTGACAGATAAAAAGAGATCAAAAATAAAATCCTGTGACAAGCATGTAGTGTAATTGGTATATAACGGGCATGTGGTGTAGTTGGTTATCACGCTCGCTTAGCACGATCCAATCACGTGATCTGCGAGAGGGGTCCGGTTCGATCCCGGACATGTCCAAGAGTTTTTATCGTGTTCAAACAAACACATACAAGGTAGTTTTAACTATACATGAATACTTTAATCAACTTCAGCCTCACAATTCTGATGCGGTCAGCACGGGGAGATAACCCTCGAACAGTGTATCTATAAACAACACGTCGTTAATGGTGCGAAGAGACAGACAGTACGCACACTCTTTGTGTAGGATGAGTTGGGGGTGCTCGTCGAGGGCGATCGCATTGTAAACTGTGCGCGATTCCTGCGAGGGGGGCATTGGTGGTCAAGAGCAAAGAGCGGGATTGACAGTTGCTGAGGCTCCTTATAGTGCCGCGGCGCACGATGACGTCATGCGACAGGCGCGACAGATGTGCATACAGGACGTCACGCACGCGCGCGAGGTGGCGATACCATTGGCAGCGTCACAGCGATTACAGAAAATAGCAGTGTACACGATGGGTGGCGGAAGAGCTAAATGGGTCTCGAATGGCACGTCCAGTCACATTTGGATAGTCACGAAATGCCGAAGGAATCCAGAGCCATTGTGTATAAGTAGGCAAGACAGTCGGCAGCGGTGGCTTCGGTGCACGTAGTCAAATTTTGTCGCACACGAGCAATTTTATGGCATGCGGAAACTTCCTCACCAGTGTCTATTGAACAATCTCAAAGTCCGACATGATTCACATACCTCACATTCTATCACATTATATCCATTAACAAGCAGTTGTCACGCACACTGGCGACGCGGCGTGGTGCCTGAGTAGGTAGTCGTTATCAGTATATTGTGGGTCACCCCGTGGACTTCTGAAAGTGAAGGGCTGGGACGCATCTCCCGCTCTTTGTGACTTGATATATCCCATCAATGACCAGATCACTGAAGGTCACATAGGTTCCATCTCCCCATTGTAGCTTGTCACATTTTCCAGAGTCTAAATACTCCTGTGGAGCCCCTTGTCAGAAGGTGGTTTAGATGGGCGCTGTACACACTCACCTGAAAGATTATACAGAGCTGTTCTGCAATCATAATCCCTAGCCGCTGCCTAGTAGGCATATTTGTTCTCTTGAAAGCATTGATTTGACACAAGTAGGGTTTCAGACAGTTGGGAAACTGTCGCAGTATTCAGCATTGTAATCGAGTAGTGAGAAGAGTCATTTGTAAAGGTACACCTCACCGAAACTTCAATCGATGGTCTCACTGTTTCGCCGTGACCAGCAAGAGTGAGGAATGCCGAAAGATCCCCATCCACCAGGTGCAATTAGGGTGTGTTTCGTAGGTCCTTAACACGAACTCCGATCTCGTTACAGCCTTCTTTGTGCAACATGAAGAGTATCGACATTTTAAATTCCCGTGGGATTCTGACGTTTTCCAAAGTGTCAAAAGATATAATGTCCTATTTAAACGAAATTCAGGAAACGTCCATATTTTAAAGAAAGAATTGTACGCGGTTTGGGCCCAGGGGGTCCGTCATCCAACCGTCGGAGGCTCCAGCAATATTAGGAATCATTACAACCTGAAATATCAAATCAATTGACTATGTCCATTCGGTACACGCATTCACACCTCATTCAGATCAAACTTCGGTTGCACTTGCTGTACATCGGCCTGATCGGCAAAGTAATATTCTTGCGAAATATCATCATGCTATGGCAGCCATTATAATCTGCAGCAGCACAAAATATCCACAAGCTCACCAGTGAACACGGTGGTCCGCCGAGAGTATCCCTCAGTACCTGAGAAGGTCAAATCAACTGACAATGACCGCTAGGTGAACATCACATACTACACTCTGATCAGACTCTGTAAAAATTCTCTCAATCCTTGTAGAGGTGGGAGAGTGATCTTTTTGCTGCTTACTCACACAGCTCTGATTGATGAAGAGCTCTTGTAAAGTTTCGTCAATAACATATGGCCATAAGCTCACCTGATAGGATTCCTCGATATCGGGTCCGTCAGGAGGATAGTGATAGCCCAGGTAGCTGTAACTCATCGCGAGAAGTTATGACAGTGAGATGTAGGGGGTCTTAATATCCACTCAGCGGAGAGGCGTTATATGTACCTCAGACACAAGGTTTGTATCCACACAATATATTTATGTAGGATATCAGGATATTGGGTGAGGACACATAAGATTTTATCCACAGTCCATCTGCGGCAGGCCATCAGTTCAACAGAGAACCTACTTGAGGTCTTGTGGATAGAATATCCAGAAGAGCTGGGCTTGAAGCGCCTGTGCTGACCTAGTGTGCTCCGTCTAGTAATCAATGGCCTCCGACAGATGAATGTTATTAGCCGGAATGCGCACCGCCACATTTCTTCGATTTCAATCGGACTTCCTAATTGCGGCAAAAAGAGAGCGACATATTATCCTTCACAATCTGTCTTGTGCTGTTGATTCCGGTAGCTACGGACCAACGGTTGCATTAGATTAGGCCAGGAACTATGCGGTACACTGACCTGATAGAGCATATCCAGAACCGCGAGTAAGACAGCTAGTATTCATGTCCCAAACTCTGCACGCCTAGCCTTACAGGTCTAACAGAAATATCTACAGCCGTATGATGAATAAAGCATGCTATCAGTGTCCGCCTTCGGGAGCTCACTCACAGGCAAAGTCGGAGACTAGTCTGCGCAGAGGAAATGCGCCCGCATTCACCGCGTCAACCTGTCGTCCGTCCCAGGGTTGACGTTCGCGTCATTGCAATATATATAGCCTAATAGCTCATGCAGGGTGACACTGTCTGGTTCCCGCTATCCATACGAAGACACCGTGCGCGGTACAATCCTGTGGCGGCTCGTACACAAAATGTGTCAGATTATATCCATTTACCTGGTGATCTACAGAACGGAGCAGCATTATTGACGGATACTGACGTGGCGCAGGTCAAGACGCATCGGTAACACAGCACTTGCGTATTGTAAAAATAAGTAGCATCTGGGAATCCATGACGAGTCGAGTATTCGAGACCTGTGGTGTAAAGGACAGTCATACTAAGAGTAGACTCAGAAAACAGAGACGTACGTACACCAAACATCGACAAGGTCAGTGCCTTTGAAATATAGTAGACCCAAGAGTGCTACCGGTTGAATCGGAATACTCGCCAACTGATGGTCGCCTTGAAGGCCTTAATGAGTGGTCTTGACAATCTTGCCGGCCGGTTCGCATTCTCCCCGTCGCCCCTCTTTGTATCCCACTCCCTGGCTGGCTGCTTGCGGTCGAGATCCTGGGTAAACATAAACCATTCACATAGAATTGCCAACCTGTTAGACTCTGAGGCTAGTGCCGAAGGCGTGCGGTGCTAAACCTCTTCGGTGGGGTTAGACATTGTCGTCATGAAATTCCGTAAATGTTCTATACTGGTGCCAGCACTAAGGACAGGCATAGAATTGAATGAGTGTATAAGAAGTATATTTAGGCCAAGGGGAATACGTACACAATACGGGCATAAATATTCAACAAGATTGCATCAATGCGAGACCATGATTGACGCTAACCTATCGTTGTCCAGAAAATTGCCGCTCTTCTTGATAAATCTGCCTAGCTCCATTCATGATATGGTACAACGTGCCATGCATTCAGTTGCCATCTGAATAAGATCCAAGGTGAGATCCAGTGTGAACAATCATACCATCATCCCAGTTGACCATACACTGCTGTTCGACTTACAGTAGACGTCTAACACAAGGCGGAGTGGATTAGTCAACATTGAACATGATCAATAATTCGTGCTGACCCTTGGAAGGTTCTGAATGCAAGAGTCCATCAGCGAAACTGTGCATGTGATAAGCGAGTGCGTTTGATAAGGCATTTGAAGCAGTTGTCGGATCCTTACGACTACCATAGACTATAGTGTACTTCAGTATGAAGCATGATTATATTGCACACCTAGTTACCGCATATACAGTGGCAAACCGGCCAGTGGTAGGATCAACGCCTCGAGCGGACAATAAGAGGCTGCTTATGATAAAGGGGCTGACCAAGTTTGCAATGTGGGTGACGACCTCCTCAACGAGCTTGTGATGTCTGATTTTTGTTTCATTATATTTTGCAGCAGTTCGATCGGCACAACAAACGCATGAATGTTCCCCATTCCGAAGGGAGCTATGTGAAGAGTCAAACCGGCCAAAAACATGCACCGAGTGCGGACGTCCTGTACTCGCCTTGTCAACCTGGTGAGGCTGCATATATTGTTAGAAGAAAATGTTCATCACCAACGAGACAGTGTGCACTTACAGTGTCCATCATGGGCACGATCTCATTCCAGTTCACGCACTTGTATGAGACAAAGCTGTCCTTCATCGACTATCAGCGCACCAAGTCGACACCAGTATTTCACCCACAAGGATCACGGCTTTAGCTTGCTCCACGAGAACAGAGTATCAGTAATAGCTCACTTCCGGTACGCTGTTAGCGATGCAGCGATATATCGGATTGTTGGTTCGAAGACTGTCATATGAGGTGGATGCATGCGTCGAAACGTAGGTAGTTCGATCGCATACGCGGGTTCAATTAGGTCAACTGCTACTCTTCAAACCAAAAGTTATACGCTTAGATGTTGAACGTACAGTGAGCCTCCATGAGCCGCACCAGTATGCGCGACGTGCGCGTGTGTACACGACGCGGCGAAAGGTTGTAACGGCCAGCCTCCAGGTCACAACGAAGTTCGCGAACAAGATGCAAGATTTTCGTGAACGCGACATTCACGCACGCGAATAACGATCGGGGGACAATGGCAATATCGCGTTGCTCGCGAAGAATGGGATCATGGAGAGATTGAGGCCGTGCGCGGGCATGGCAGGGTGAGGAGCAAAGACATCCGCGGCAATTCCCTAAGTAGTCATGGTGGTCATGTCGCCAGGCGAACTATTCACGTCATCACTATTGCTAAAACGCCTGATATGTGCATGCAATGCAATGCGCGTACACTGTACAGATCCGCCTCACACGCCAGAGTTGTGAAGTAACTCATGGAATTCGCAAGTGGGAACACAGAGTGTCCTATCTTAAGCTTATCATGAATCCAGGCCTAGGCACATTGCCACGGTCTACGAGGTGGCGCGGTGAATTGCACCCCGGGGCTATGGTCCCAGGTTGGCCGGCCTCTTCGAAGACATAAATTATATACGAATCACGTCCATCATTATGCTTCTAGATGTGGTATACTGCGGATTCTAGGAAATACTTCCTCGTCGTATCTCCTCTCGAATTGATTGTATAACCGCGTCTGCGCTAATCGAAAATCGTTCCTCAACAGCTATCGCCTCATCTGGTCGTATCACAGGTGGCAGTGAATTTCCGGTGAATTTCCTGATTGCGCACATGAGCTAATGAGCATCAAACTTGATTGTACGCTTGCTCACCGGTCATTCCACCACGCCATGTATCTCATACCTAGTGAACGTACTGCAAACTCCTGGTCGCGCATGAATGTGCCTGGTGGGAAGAATTCCATCAGGAGGGGTGCTGGCACTTGTCCATTCTCCTCGGCGACCTCAGCCGAGCCTCCCTTAGAACGCCCAGGAAGAGCCATGAAAATACTGTCAGCGAGATGGTATCCATATGGTCCCAGAACAATCTAAAATAAGCATAGAGAATGAGTTACGTGAAATTGCCCAGCTGGAGGATACCTTACGCTCGATTTGGCGAATGCGCTCATCCTGTCCGTCCATTCCGATCCGTGAGTCTCCAAGCTCCCATTGCCGTGCACGACATGAAATTCATCAATCACACCGTCGGTCTCCAGGCTCTGCAGCCCCGCGACCAGAGCAGCGTGATCCTCGCTGTGCAGACGTGCACCAGCACCCGTGGGTTCGGCCTGCATCGAAACATACGTGACAATAGGCTTTACTTTGACAGGCCTGAATTTCTTGGCCCATACCGAAGCCGATGCGCCCTGCTGGGATGCAGGGAGTTTGAGATACGTGAGGAGAGCAGAGCGCATGGGCGTCCACCAGTCCTCTTTCGCCTTGAGTCCGACGAATGGTGCAGCCCAGCTTGGCTTCCCGTCGTCCGTGTCCACTTGCCTCTTCAGCTCTTGTGGAGGCTCAGCAGCCACATCCGGCGGAGACCATCCACGCGCCCAAAGTTCCCGACTTCTGTCTGCTGCACTACGATCCGCGATAATCACACGATCAAAAAGCCAAGGTACGTTCATGTCTGCGATATCCTGCCAATCCTCCATGTACCATATGCCAACGGCGGATAATATTGCCTTTGGCAGAAACGGGTGGATACCTGCAGAAGCTCGCTTTAGAACAAGACAATGTTGGAGGACATATATATACATACCCACGTACGACTTGATCCGCTGTGGGGGATGCTGCTTCACATCATTGCCTTCAGGCGGTATGTGTGGACTCGAGAACGTAGGAATATGCGGGAACATCAACCTCAAGGGTGCGGGTATGTCAAGTCGGTCTGAAAGCGCTAAGGTGCTCTGAGTACGGAGAAGCGAGAACAATGCGTATGGATCTTGGGATGTCGCTGGGTCTAGGGATATCCACGTTGTCCCGAATATCCTTGTGAACGCGAGGCGTCTAAATTAGTCAGAGCGGAGACGACCAAAGAATGAACACACCTTCCGCCGAAGTTTCCGAGCATCGACCGTGCTTCCTCACGACTCAAAATTTGCCAATCCTGTTCACGAGGAGGCAATGAGCGATCCGCGCTAGACGAAGCTATGGCAGCAAGCTCCGGTAACGACGCAGGATCGTCTGTGACAAGGAAGAAGGTCCCGTTCGCAACAATAGCGTTGTGGATGATGGTATAACCTAATGAGACAGCACATGAATACCAAACATCTGAACGCCATGCGCAAGAAACTTGCAGCCGACATGCCATAATATCAAGACGTACCAGGAACATGCGCCACAGCCCTTGAAACGGGAACGTCGCCTCCCCACCTCAAAAACTGCGTGTGGGCTGCTACGCCGTTGCTTAATCCTATCCCTCGGTCATCCATTCCTGCGCTCCGACCTGCCGCCCCCGAGTCGATGTTGTATACGGTGGTGTTGCCAATTACAAGTCCGGCGAGGCCATGGTCCACTCCAGCGATTTGATGCTCGTCCCAATCCCACTCGCCAGCGATGAGGGTTTCTAGTTCGTCTCGCCATTCTTTTGGTCTTCGGCCATCACGATCAAAGCCTGGGTCTCGAGTTCCAAATCCTGTTTCAAAATGTCAAGTCAGCGTAAATTATGATGACACTGGTGACTGCGTGGAATTGACAAAATCCGACATTATTGTGTCAGCACGCAAGGAATACATCACTCATAACGAGATTTAAAAAAAAGGACATAATGAGCAACAGACTAGACGGGTTACCCCGCGCATCAGGACACTTGACACATACACTGAATCCTATGGATCATAAGGGCCGGAGATGAATAGCAGCACGGATTATGATATCTGTATAGTCCGTAAAACTTGATGTGCCACTTGGCAAAAAGAAAGAGTGCGAGCTGCAACTGCGAGCCACCACACTGGCGCAATAGTCCCTGTCACTTTAGAATTGATAATGTTTGGAGATTTGGCGTCCAGGTGCAATCCTCAAGGCTCACACTACATTTTGGCGTCTGTCTTGGCACCAGAGGCTGTGGTGCTCATAATCCCACAATGCCACGAAAACAATTCTCCATAGAATGTCGCAATATAAAAGGATGCATAAATATACGCACCAATGGTGGACAGATACGACCCGCTCAACTTCGCGGGATGTATTCCAATAAGGTGCAGGGACGTCTCGAGGTTATAGGAGATTACGAAAACCGTCAGCGAGAACAGAAGAAGCGTAAGTTCGCGTCGAGTGGGTGGGTATAGCCACCCTCGATGGTGGGATAGCATTGTTCAGCTGCAGCGTCGATGTCAAGTGAAGGAGATGTCTGTTTCAAGAGTGATAGATAAATGGGTGGTCTGCTTGTGCAAGACTTCTAAGGGACGAGGAGGCTAGTGATTGTAGACACAACAAGTGTGCATCGGTCAATACAGCGCAGAGGACAACGAACAATCTGGTCGATGCGCTAGTGTGGCAGTAAAAATTAAATACAAGCAGGAAATGCAGTGAGGGAGAGCCAGCCAAGCCCAGGAAGAGGCGTGATAGGAGAGGCCGAGGGTAAGCGAAGTTAGCGAACTGAAGCGGTGGTTTCCAATTTTGGAAATCATACCGAACGCGTCCAAGTATATTCAAGCGCCTGCAGCTCGCACCTCCGACTCCCGAGTCTGACTCTCATTATCAGACTTGGTCATGTTGACGCAACCCTACTCCTAGCCATGTTCAATAGAAGCAATGAGTCTTTGCGACAAAAACATTCGCATCTATGTAACCTTTACGCCTGACCACCATTACACTCTATTCAGATCAAATCGCAAATGCGTATCCTATGCCTATGATGCGTGATAAATCAAACACTATGCTTCTATGTGCTCTCTGCGGGCTTTGTATGTCTGTTAAGAAGAACTTTAGTACAGACTTCCAACGCCTCGACCTCCTGTGGCATAGGATCTGCACAACCGGCCCAGCGGATCCTACACTGCTGATCAACTAGGTAGATATATGCAACGTGTCGATTCGCCATGCCCATATCGTCTCGCAAGTAGCTGAATAACTGATCAGGATATGGAGATGCAGGACGTCCGTGCAGGAAGACTTACTCCATATTTTGGCTACTGACGAGATATTTGTCCCACAAGTTTTCTGGAACACTCTTGCGGATACTCGACGTGAATAAAGAGACGAGCAATGATTTCAGTAGGTTCTCCTGTAGATTAATCTGGACGAATTGGTAATGGGGATGAGAAGAGAATTGCGAGTGCGTGGGTTTGATGAAGCTCGCGGTTTGAAGCTTTACGTGTCATATGCAAAACTTTCAGTCTAACGCAATAGAAACGGATCCAGCGGCACATCAAGGCGTACCTCAGATATTCTGGTGGAAAGCATAGCGATGATCGAGACCTTGCCGGCGCAAAGACTTGTAGTGTGAACATTTGGTTTAGACGTTAACGTGGTTCCAGAAATGTCGGGAAAGTACAACGCTTTCTGGTTCCGCAAATTGATGATCAAAATCAACACCAACGATAGATAGCCTTACTGCTCACATCCTCCCGTATCATAACTTTCGGTGCAACCCACGTCTTTCCACCATGTCTCCTCGTCGCGTTCAGATCAGTAAAGTAGCCTTTTGTAGCAGCCTTGAGCCTTCATTCAGTTGTTCAGTGACACAGGCCGAGGTAAAGAGCCTGGAGGATACGCACAGATGCCGACGCTTTTCCATCCTCTTTTCCTGGTCCATCAGCTCATCCCTTGTTTGAGCCCATGACCTCGGTAATGACGACGGCCTCTCGAGGACACCCAGCGGCCGTTGGAGTAATGGCAGAGGCTGTTCTGCGGCATCATCGCTCCCCTTGAGATTCCTCTGCTGGTCTTTGCCAGCAGAGACAGGCTCGGCAGATGCATCCCCGCTTTGCGAGTTTTCGTGTGATCGATGCGGACGTGTACAGGAAATAAGTCTACGCGCGGAGATACATGTTAACTTTTGATGTTTAGCTGACCGACTCCAAGATTGTGGAATGAGAGACTGTCGTTGTAGCGCATAGACCTGCATGGTGGCACGCGATCGGCACCGGCTCGCGCGTTGCAACACGCGCCAGTTGTTCTGCTCTCGCAACGTTGAATTGAGCATTGGGCGAATGTCAACACGGCTCCCGCCTCATACTTTGGACGTATGCGGAGCGTCTTCTATCTCAACAATTTGTCTAACACATTATTCAAAAAGTGCAGATTTCGCTTTATCTCCCCGGCGTACAAACGGTTATCGTAATGTCCTTCGGCATCCCTCACGCAGGTCGGATGTGATCTGTTCTTATCCAGGAAACTCTTGTGGCTTGGGGCTGTAGGATTAACCAAAGTCTGAGCCCTGAGTATCAGTCAAATTGACGGGAACGAGATGATTTGCTAGACCGTAAGTACTAGCTACAGATGATAAGCCTGTTGCAACGCCGTCATATCCCATATCTCGAGATTTGGAAACACCTTCTGAACTCCCTTATCTCTACTTCGGCTGTCTTAAAAGGTGCGCAAGACGCACTGTACGGTGTCGGAAGCCTGCAGTTCGCCCGTCTCTGCCTCGTTCTTATCGACCGCGTGTATAGCTGACGACCAGCATGACCCTTCGCCAGGCGATCTTGAAAAGGCTCGAGGTGCCCAATCAGGAAGAGAGAGTAGCCGACCGCTGGCATAATCATGATCTTATGCCTGTCGAGCCAGCTCGGAGGACGTGGGGAGTCCGACAATTCATCGAGCTCTGGATTCTCGTCAACATGAGCATTTCGGGGTATCAGACTGGGTCGTCATTGGTGGCCAATGGTCTCCTCTGGTGGCAGGCAATCATCTGCATCATATTTGGCGACTTGTACACCTTTCCTTTTGTGATACTCTACCCGCGGCTAAGATTATCTGGTTAGACTGGCAGCCACGTTCTGTACGCTCAACTCTACGTCAGGCGCGTACTACCATATTGGATATCCAGCCATATCACGGATCGTCTGGGGCATGAACGGGAGCTACTTTGCCCTTATAAATCGAACGTTACTGTCTGTTGTCTGGTGTAAGCAGCCTCTCACTTTTCGTGAACTTATGAGACATTCAACGGGCACGTTACAGTTGCAGTGCAAGCCTGGAATGGCGGCCTCTGTGTGCTTGTCTGTCTCCGCGCGATCTTCCCCCACCATGTCGACAATATTCCAAACCCGTTCCCGCCCAGTACCGGGATGGATGGGGCCCAGTTCTTATGCTATGCCCTCTTCATGCTGATCTGCGTCCCTTTCACGTACATTGAACCTCACAGACTCGTGCTCTTCTTCAAATTGTGCGCCGTCATCGTGTTCCTCAACCAGATTTCCATGCTCGGATGGGCACTCGGGACCATGAAGGGCGGGCTGGCCAGTGCAGCGCTCACGGCGGACGTGAAGATGACCTCAACACAGCTTGCATGGGCGATCTGCAATGGCATTATGGCGCAGATCGGCTCCATTGCTGCCGGCATCTTGAATGATAACGACTTCACTCGCTTCGCGAAGACTCCAGAACGACGTGCTATCACTGCCCAAGCTAGTCAGTATGGATAATCACTGGTATCTCGAATTATAGCTGAAAAGCTATAACAGTTACCTTTCCAATTGCTGCCTTCATAACAGCCCTGTTCGGGATCCTCATCACCGCTGCCACTACCGAACGATACGGAGAAGCCCTGTGGAATCCCCCTCTGCTTCTGCTTGCCGCACAAAAGGCTGGCGGCTCTGGATCCCGTGCTTCCACGTTTTTCTGCGGATTTGCCTGGGTCGTCACCCAGATGGGCATCAACATCCCCGGTAATGTAGTACGTCAGCAGTGTCGTCTGTGTGCCACATATTTGAACGGCTCACTCACTGTATTTTGCGGACAGGTTGCCGCAGGTGTGGATGTAGCGGGCTTGTTGCCCAAGTACATCAACCTGAGACGAGGAGCATACTTCATCCTCCTCGTATCTATTGCAGTAACCCCCTGGCATTTACTCAGTACATCGAGTGTGTTCCTCAACGTACTGGGTGCGTACGGTGTCTTCTTAGGCCCCATGACAGGAATGGTAAAGTACTTCTATGCCAGTCGGCTTGTGTCGGCTGTCTGAGTGGTTTTTCCCTTCTAGATGGTCAGCCATTACTACGTGATCCAGAGGCGCTACTTCAAGGTTACTGACATCTACATCGGTGATAAACGCTCGATTTATTGGTACACGCATGGTGTAAACTGGCGCGCCTTTGTCGCTTTCTTCAGCGGTGTTGCGCCGTGCATCACTGGATTTGTCGGGGCAGTCTCGCTTCACCATGTTAGCACCGCGGCGTCCCGTCTTTATGACCTCAACTACGTGCTCGGATTTGCCATCTCGTTCTTGTTAAACTGGGCTCTCCACACAATCTTCCCGGTCCCCGCGCAGCAGGCTTTCATCGAGGCCATGGAATGCGCTGACGCGCCTAAGACTCTTGATGGGCTGCAAGAAATTTTGGGGGACAGTACGTGGGAGTCGGCGTCTGGCTCGAGATCGTTCGAACAAGAGGGCGGGAAGGAAAAGGCTAGCCTCGAGGTTGCATGCGACGTGGTGGACTCACCGGGGTATGCTTCCAGCATACGTGGGGGAGGCATTTGATGGGCACTAACGCTAGTTTGTGCTCCTTCGCTAGGTCGTTCTGAGGAGATGAATGCTGTAGTCGAGCGGACATGCGCGATCCTCCAGGATCCTCGCCGGTGGTGTTCAATCGGTGGATCAGATTGTCACGGTCGGCCCGTTGGCCTTACTACCTTGGTCGATTGTGCACCGCGACCGCGCATCTCACGTGTCCGTATCGATGGTCATTCCTCAGGACCAAAGTGCACTTGCACTTTCTCCTCCTGGTAGCACTTCGCTTCTCCATATAAGTATTATTAGCATTTGTTTCTGGAAGTGGACTTTCCCGGCAGAAACACCGACCAATTTACACTTTGCGACGCGAACCATATCTTTGGGCTGTTGCGGCTAGAGTTGTTTCCATTGTAGAAGTACCCTGGAACCCCCCGCAGGCAAGAATCTGTGGGTATTTCGGTTCTTCTTGCTCCGTAATACATTGACTCTGGATAGAACCTAAAACTGGGTTTTCAACTGACGGAGACCTGTTCTTCACCGATAGAGCATCTATAGAATGGTCCATTGGAAAGTCATTTCGAAAGGCACCGGACCACTGTATTGGCACGATAGGCCACTGACATATCTTCAGCAGGGGCCTATCAGACACGCGGCGGACGTCCCACTCCTGTCTTGGCCGGATAATCTAAGCATAGCGTGCATTCTGGATTCATTTCTGTCCGTGGCGTCTGGCCACCATTAAGTCGCAGATCCGTAGTGCATTGCCTTTGCAGTCTTTGGCTTGGGGTGGTCACCGGTTTGGTCGGCGCACATGAATTGAATATTGAGGCGCGGAACTGTCGGATGGCACCATCCATCCATAACATTGGCCTCTCCGCTCTGAACGTCGGATACTGGAGCCGTGGGCCGCAGAATTCCCGGCCAGTGGATGTCTGGGAACACATTCAGACACGTGCGCCTTCGTGGCCCTTGCCTCGCGGTTCGTGCGTCCTGATCCACGCTCCCGATAGCGCCTCGGCTGACGCTGCTGTCGAGATATGTGTGCGCTTCATATCTTATGAAGTGCGCGTATCGGATGTGGATATGGTGTATAGCTGAAGCATGGGCTGCAAAGTACGAGTTGTGTCTTTTCCTGGGTGATAAGAGGCTCCCGGCCGTTGGTATGTAGTCTTCAGTCCGACACAGACGCAGACACTGTTCGTGCATAGAAAATATGGGTGCAGATTGGCTGATGCGGTAATATCATGCTGTAATTGGGCCTCGCCAAACTGCGCCCTCGTTCACATCTTTCTGTGCACGTATCAATTACGGCATTCGCCTCGCACTGGTCTAAACTGGTCTCTGGAATGTAAGTTCAGGCCATGTAGGAGGTGACGAGGTGATGGCGGGAATTATTCGGTGGGTCAATCTCAAACGACGACTTGTTGTGTCATCCATATTCTGCCTTGAGGGCGATCGCAGAAGGCTGGATGGTCGATATGACGCACTTGAGTCGACAACGTTGGAGGACGGAGACGACAGCTGAGTTGCGTCAAAGATGTGATCTGGGATTTGGCTGGCTCTGGGGAGGATGCTATATCTCCGGGGCACAAGAACGTGCGCTCAATCACTCTTCGGAATGGCCGACGATGAAAGGAAGGCCGCATCTCTCCAGGCCATACAATCTTCTGCATTAATCGGCACCGCGGATGGTTATGCGCGCGTCGTGATATGTCGGGCACCACATGTTATATTATAGGGCGATGAAATTGATTTTGGACTGCATGCACATGAAACTCTGTCCGAATTGCAAACTGGTGTGCCATGAACTGATATTTGGATGCTGTACTGAGTAACCTTGAAACATGACATTCGTACGCCTAGCGAGTGAACGGATTGGCGGACGGCTTTCGGACAAGTCTATCACTGAGATCGCAGATGTGGACCGGTGTATGATATGGATGCATTTCATGATTTCCATGCTGTCTATGTGATAAAAGGGTTTCAGGTTGGCCATGCCATGGGTGATAAACAAGCAGACTGGTGGCGACGGTCAGAAGGACGGGTCAGAGAGACGTTGAAGACAGAGCTTGGACCGCGCGGCGGCGGGAGCAAATGGTAGACAGATCTGAATCGAGATGGGGCGTCTGCGCGTTTCTCTCTAACCGCGAACGTTGACCTCCGAGTCCGAGTCCGAGTCCGCCAGCGCTGCGGACCATTGTGGCCAGCTGCTCGCCTCGCCACGGCCGACGACAGGA